GCACCAGCCGGCAGGAGGTAAGATTTCTCTCCATGTGAGCCTCCCAGGATCTTTGTCTGCGGCGTCGGATGGCGAGAGAGGGGTGGCAGTCCTTGTCCTTTCCTCCTAAATTCAGATTCGCAGGAGGAAATACCTATGGAGCTAGCTCCTGGGGCCTAGCAACCCCGGTTAGATTTGGTGAGGACTCTGGTGTCTGATCCGTTTCTTCCCAGAGCTGCTCTTTGTTTTCCTTTATGTAGTTTGTCACGAGAAGGGATTGCCACGGGGCAGAACGCGGGCACAGGCCCTCGCCGCCGCTGCTGGAGCCGGCCCCACAGACCGGTGAGTTCACGTTCCCGCCAGCTCCGCCATCTGTTGGGACAGACTTTGTTGTGGGATCAAGGCTGTTGCTAAGGGACGTTGTGGAAGCCAAAGCCACAGACGTGGTGGCCCAGCTGTTAGAGGGCTCGCCCTCTCAAGAAGACCCCGGGTTAGGATAAGTTGGTCACAGAACGGGTTATGTTGACAGTAGGTGACCTGCCAACCTCAAGAAAACGTCCATGCAGTGAGGTACGCGTCCCCAACCCCGAGGCACATCCGTCCTCGGTCTAGTGTGGCCCAAGAGGCCCCAGGCGTGAGTGAGGACGTGGCGTCTGGTCTCCCGGTCTGCAGGGTACGCGCTGCAGGTGTACCCGCGTGGCCTGTGGAGTAGACCCAGGACCGCAGCCTGCCTCCCCCAGCCGGGCCCGCTCTCGGGCTGTTTGTCATGAGAGCGTCCGGCCCGTAGGAACGTAGGAACGTTTGTGGTCTCAACCTCCGCTGCTTGTTAGTGCTGGAGAGGCGCATTCCGGGAGCGCCTGCCCGGGGCCATAGACGAGCAGGTCTGCGGGCGGAGGTTTGGGGCCAGAGACACTGTTTTCACCACCTGGGCCTCGAAGCCTTTGCTTTCTTAGACCAATTTCGAGAGTAAACTTTTGATCGTGGGGGCTGCATCTTCTATGCCCAATCTGGACACCTCTCGGCGTCTTTGGCTAAGCCGTTAAACGGCTTCTTGGTTTGAGCACCTGTTAATAGATGCTACTCAACAATGGCCAGACAACGGATCCTTCAAATTGGCTACATTTGAAAGCAAAACTTCCTTTTTAAAGGGGTCTCAATGTATCTCATTAGTGTAATGGCTGGTCCAAGGGACTCCCTTGCCAGGATGAAAGAACAGAAAGTAGACTTAAAAAATAAATCACATTCAATGTAAATTCCTCTTCTTAAAACTCAGCCTCATCTGCCTGTTTTAACTTCCCTCTGAGCACTCGAGTAACCTCTAGGTTCAACATGTCCAGGTTGCTCAGGTAAATGCTGAAAGCCGGGAAACGAATTTAACAGGAACACGGGAGATTGTCGTTAGCCCTGCCGTCCAGGCCGTGTGCTCGGGTTCTGCTGGCCACTGCGTCCCGGAACCCCACCGCCAGAGAGCCCCCCAGACCGCAACCCAGCTTTTAACGTACAAAGCCCCTTTACTTCTGCTTTCAAGATATCCTGCCAACCTTAGAGAGAAATTAGATTAGTGACTAGTTGCTCATTCCCCTTCACAGAGAAAACAGGAGCACGATTTCCCCTAGGCCCTCCGACGAATGATCTTCCAAAGGCCGGTTATTCAACAAAAGCTAGGGTTCAGCTGTGTACCCAGAAAGAAGGCTTTTGTTAAAATGCTTCATACAGACTTTACAAAGACATAATCTGGGGCACCGGGCTGTCTCTGTCTGTAAAGCCTGTGGCTCGTGAGGTCGGGGTTTGGGCTGAGACCCCACCTGGGTGTAGAGGTTACTCAAATAAAATCTTAAAAACACACACACACACACACATAAAGATATAAATCTTCTGATTCTCATTTTAGCTAAAACTCTGCCTGACAGAAAATAAAAATTAGTTAAAAAGATGGGCCAGTCTCTTGATACTCAGGCCGTAATCCAGTTCTTTGGGAATTAGACACAACCGTCTTTGTCTTCCAAATCTCTACAAAACCAGAAATGCGGCCCTGAAATCAAGTCCAAGCCCACAGGCCTTTCCCATCCCCACACCTCACCTGCTCCTCTCAGAACGTTGTGGGTTTTATAAAAGACCAGGGTATTGGAACAAAATGGTCCTGTACTTAAGAAAAAGGAGGAAACATTCTAAATAGCAATTACTCTGCAACTCTAGAGAAAAAAGTGTTTTTACATACTTTCTCTGTCCCTTAAAATTATAGATGTTTAAAACGAAAACACAGCTCAGAATCACCTGAGACTGAAGGGAAAGGAGGAAGAGGCCTTTTTAAACTGCAATCTGCTAAAAGGGTCCCAGACTCTAGCGCCTCCCTGAGCCGGCAGAGGAGAGCCCCCCCACCGCCCCCGGGAGGAAAAGGAGACGCTCCCTGAAAACTTCAAGGAGACGTGTTCCTCCGGAGGAAGAAAAATAGAGGGAGGTATTTGAAAATTGGGCCTATGGTGTCCTGTGCACAGGCCTGAGTGGGGTTTTTGCTATCTCGTCTGAGTGCGTCTGTGCGTGTCCTAAATGGGAGGGGGGCTCTCGGCCTCCAGCTGGGACTGCAGGAACTCGGGGGCCGAGAGCTCGAGTTAGTTGGTCTGAAGGCAGGTCCAGGTGCAGAGGGGGTACTCCAAAACTCAGACAAAAACTAACGGGGGGGGGGTGTCAAGTTCACGTGATCTGGGAACTAGTCGCTCCTAAAGCAGATTTAGGGTTGTTGGTTCAATGAAAAGAGACGTGTCTTTAGAATTATCGGCATTAAATAGACTTTTCTTCTGCTTGCGTTGACCAGAAGTCAAATAAATTTATGTTACCTCCTGCAAAAGTTGTCAGGGAAAAAAAAAAAGGTATGAGGAGCGGGAATGTATTTTTTGTTTAGGGAGAAGAAAGTGGTTTTGTCCTAAGTGAGGCTGGTTGTTTGGGGACAGACTTAGTGATGAGGGAGCAGAAGGCAAGCTGAGGGCAAAGCACAGGGTGACACCCCACAACCCCCCCGCCCAACTCCCTGGTGGGATCTGTGTGGTGTTTCTTGGGCACTCCTGCCCGCCCGAAAGCTAAGGAAAGGAAAAACAAACGGTCAACGTAGAGATTACAGTCCTGCAAGACCTGAGTCTCCCTCAGTTTACAAAGGTCTTAGTGATTTACAAGAAAAAAAGCATTCTTATCAATAACCTAACTTCCAGAAGAAAATGTAGATAAAACTAAATGATCTAAATGTCCTTATAATCTCCAGCCCATTGAGAAGTACTTGAGGGGGGCAGAGTATAATGTTCCTCCGGTCTTAATGTTAATGCCTCGCTAGAGGGAAGAAGATCCTGAACTTGACAATAGCAAGGTCTCCAGTATCTTGTAGGTCATCTGTAGCCTATAAAAGTTCTTTTGAAAACCTTCTTTATTCCTTACCCCCAAATCCCAAGTATATAATCAGTCACCCCTCACAACCCAGGGGAAGCAGCTCTTTCTGCCCGAGGGTCCTGTCCCCGTGCTTTAGTAAAGCACCATTTTTGCACCAAAGAGGTCTCAAGAATTCTTTCTTGGCCGTCGGCTCTGGACCTCACCCCACCAAACCTCACCCACATTCTAAAACTACAGCACTAGGACAACATCTCGATGTAAATAGGAAAGTTTGAAAGGCTTATGGAAAAGGAATCTTTGGAAAGGCGTTCCTGTGTGGTCAGGACGGGCTAAAACAAGATCAATTAAGTAAGTCAAGGAGGTTCAGTGGTGCTGCGTTTTCTCTGTTAAAAGAAGGACGTTTTCCTGAACTGTTGGTCTGCTGTTCGTGAAGAATTATACACGAAAGTTTTTCTTTTCCTTGAAAGTTATCCCCCCTTCCCCATACAAAGGATTCTATGTTTTGGCAACGTAATTTCTTCTGTTTACCACGTCTTTGATGACCTAAGGAAACGGAGTCTCAGTATTAGAAGAGCTACATTGTGCTCCACGCTATGGAAAGGTCTTGCATTTGGCTTTGACATCTTTATTGTCACCGTGGTGAAGTGAACATGGGATACGTGTTCATAATGACTTGTAATTCTATTCAATCAAATGTTCAAACCTTTCAATGTTTTGTTTGGAAACACTTCCTAAAATCAAGTTCTGAAATAAAGTCTTTGGTGGGGCACCTGGCTGGCTCAGTTGGGAGAGCATGTGACTCTTGATCTCAGGGCTGTGGGATTGAGCCTGGGTGGGGGGTGCTTACTTAAAATAAATACATAGGGGCACCTGAGTGGTTCAGGCGGTGAAGAGGTGAAGCGTCTGCCTTCGGCTCAGGTCATGATCTTGGGGTCCTGGGATCAAGCCCCATGGCAGGCTCCCTGCTTCCCCCCCACCTGCCCCGCTGTTTGTGCGCGTGCGTTCTCTCTCAAATAAATACATAAAATCTTTAAAAATATAAAGTCACAACCCAATATAGTTCTTAAAAAATGAAATAAAGTATTTTGACTCCAATCTAACTGAAATCTTCCAGAGAGCTCCTGGAACATTTAAAAGATTTTTTGAGAAATTAAGCTAATCAGGCATATTCGTATGTTAAAATACATGGAAGTATCGTTGAACAGGTGATATTAGACACCCTGAGAATGTATTTATGTAGATATGTCGTTAAAACAAGTGTTTTAAAAATTGTATGAAACTCTCGGAAGTCTGATGTCCTGGGATGTTATTATCTTGAAGTGTTGTGTGTCACAGAAATAACCAAATTTCTTCATTGTGTTGTTCTGAGCTCTCATCAGATCTGTAATCAAGGGCATTTGTACGCCTCTCTGTCATCCCTACTTTTACTCAGATGTTTTTATAAAAGCCTCCTGCAACCCTGTTTCATCTTCAGTGAGTACAGGTTTCTAATAACATGAAGATCATAAAACTGAGCTGGGTAAAAATTTCCAGAACTAGTGAAAAAACTGTATCTAAGCAGAACAAGAATCAATTACCTGGGACTGAATGAACTAAGGAGGACCATTCTAATTTTTATGACTTTTTGCTGACTTTTAAAAAGTGTTTTGTTTTTCCAGACTTAAGACAACTTTTTATCTTCAGCCGACTTAGAGCAAGTTGATAACATATTCCTTTGTGAACAATGAAACATTTACCTTTTCTCCGCACCTGCACCCTCCAGAGTTCAGGAACTCAGCGAGCCTATTTATGTGCATAAGTTCACCAAGAATCTGTTCCCTTTGTAACAGGACACAGGTGGAAATTTGGTTACGGATCGCTATTCTTGCTGCACTTACGTCAATAATCAGGTCAGGTTTCCTCAAAACTAAACTTACTTTGTCAACAAATTAATGTCAATTGGAATATCTCTGGTAAAAATGAGGGTGATTATAGATTGTAGAAATTTGCTCCTAACGTTGTTCATCGTAAACTGGACTGATTTCCTCAGGCATCCTCCGCCGCCTGGCTACAATTCTGAACATTGTTTTCTCACCTTTCTGACTTAGAATCATTTCAGAATAAAAACTGCCCTTTTTCCGGAAGCCCTGCAAACTGAACACAAGCAACTTTGATTAAAACAATAATAATGACGGTATGCCAGAAATAATATCCTTTGCAACCGCTTACATTTATAATGAAGTTAAACATCCACTTTAAGTGTGGAAGGTTATTTTTCACAATTCTTGACCACTGCCTTAAAAACAGCCCTGTTTCTGGGAAAGGGAAGGTGAGAGCAGGGGTCAGGTGCACAGATCTTCACATCACTGAGTCCCTTTCCCATTGCGCTTTTCTTGGACCCTCGACTCCACTTTGGGGCTCCTCTGGCCGCTCTCATGGGGGGGGGTTCTCCAAGCGATGGCACTTGCTAGAAGGTCCCACATGGAGAGGGAAAACCAGGTTGCAGGAAGAAACATGTTTCCTTAAACATTTCCTGGTAATTGCCTATTGAGAGTTCAGAAGGCTTATTTAAAAAAATGTGTAAGTTTTGGTGAGACTGCAGGATGTGCAATTTTGTGCAATACACAAAAATGGTCATATTTCTATACTAGCAATAAGCAATCAAATGAAATTTAATAGCAATTATAATAACATTAAACATGAATATTTAGGGATAATTGCGACAAAAGATGGGCAAGCCTTGCATGCTGAAAACTACGAAACTTCACCAAGAGAAAACACCTAAATAAGGGTGCAGCATGCTCTATTTGTGGGTCGGAAGACAGGACTGGCAGCTTGTTCTGGGGAAGTTTCTCAGGCAGGGGGCCTGAGGAGCTGAGGGACGCACCAGGAGGACAGGTGTGGGGTGGGAACCTGACCTGAGGGGCTTTGCAATCTGTGTCCCTGTGGGGAGGCTGTTTTGTTTGTTCCCTTGCCCTACTCAACCACAGCACTGCTGCGATAGGTGGTACTTGTTGAATAAATGAGAAGTCAAACTGAAGGAAGGGCCAGCACCGCTGCATCCGGAAAGAAAGCTAGAAAGATGAATGCCTCTCCACGAGCAGACAGAGCGGCAGCCGCAGCAGGGGTCCCACGGCACTTGTGTGTGGCAGAGACCCAGAGGCAGGGAGGGGAGTGAGAGATGTCATCGTGGGAACGGAGCTCAGGTGGGTCCTGATGGAGGTTGGGGTGGGGAACTAGAGCAGGGGTCCTCAGGACTGGCTAAGGAGCATTTTGGCTTTCTCTGGTTGGTCCTGAGTTGGAGGCAGAAGCAGGGACAGGAAGCGGGGAAGCCCTCAGTGACCGAGCAGGTTGGGGCTCATAGTCACAGGGGTTGCCCTGTGGCTTCCTGGACCAGTTGCTACAGATCCTGGGCTGACTTCCTAGGAGTCTGACTTGTAGCAGGCTGGCTCTCTGACTGGCCACTCCGGTGAGGGTCTGGATCGGTGGGTGGTCTCTGCAGGTGAGGGTCTGGACCGGTGGGTGGTCTCTGCTGGTGTGGGTCTGGATCGGTGGGTGGTCTCTGCAGGTGAGGGTCTGGATCGGTGGGTGGTCTCTGCAGGTGAGAGGGTCTGGATCGGTGGGTGGTCTCTGCAGGTGAGGGTCTGGATCGGTGGGTGGTCTCTGCAGGTGAGGGTCTGGATTGGTGGGTGGTCTCTGCTGGTGTGGGTCTGGATCGGTGGGTGGTCTCTGCAGGTGAGAGTCTGGACCGGTAGGTGGTCTCTGCAGGTGAGTGGTCTCTGCTGGTGTGGGTCTGGATTGGTGGGTGGTCTCTGCAGGTGAGTGGTCTCTGCAGGTGAGAGGGTCTGGATCGGTGGGTGGTCTCTGCAGGTGAGAGGGTCTGGATCGGTGGGTGGTCTCTGCAGGTGAGGGTCTGGATCGGTGGGTGGTCTCTGCAGGTGAGAGTCTGGACCGGTGGGTGGTCTCTGCAGGTGAGTGGTCTCTGCTGGTGTGGGTCTGGACCGGTGGGTGGTCTCTGCAGGTGAGGGTCTGGACCGGTGGGTGGTCTCTGCAGGTGAGTGGTCTCTGCTGGTGTGGGTCTGGATCGGTGGGTGGTCTCTGCAGGTGAGGGTCTGGATCGGTGGGTGGTCTCTGCAGGTGAGAGGGTCTGGATCGGTGGGTGGTCTCTGCAGGTGAGGGTCTGGATCGGTGGGTGGTCTCTGCAGGTGAGGGTCTGGACCGGTGGGTGGTCTCTGCTGGTGTGGGTCTGGATCGGTGGGTGGTCTCTGCAGGTGAGGGTCTGGATCGGTGGGTGGTCTCTGCAGGTGAGAGGGTCTGGATCGGTGGGTGGTCTCTGCAGGTGAGGGTCTGGATCGGTGGGTGGTCTCTGCAGGTGAGGGTCTGGATTGGTGGGTGGTCTCTGCTGGTGTGGGTCTGGATCGGTGGGTGGTCTCTGCAGGTGAGAGTCTGGACCGGTAGGTGGTCTCTGCAGGTGAGTGGTCTCTGCTGGTGTGGGTCTGGATTGGTGGGTGGTCTCTGCAGGTGAGTGGTCTCTGCAGGTGAGAGGGTCTGGATCGGTGGGTGGTCTCTGCAGGTGAGAGGGTCTGGATCGGTGGGTGGTCTCTGCAGGTGAGGGTCTGGATCGGTGGGTGGTCTCTGCAGGTGAGAGTCTGGACCGGTGGGTGGTCTCTGCAGGTGAGTGGTCTCTGCTGGTGTGGGTCTGGATTGGTGGGTGGTCTCTGCAGGTGAGGGGCGGGTACTCAGTGCATCCGCCGTCCCGAAGCGCCTTGGGTGGCCAGTCAGGCGAGCCAAGATCCCGGTTCCGCAGACCGCTACCCGCCTGCGACCCCGCCCCGCTCAGTGCGCCCACCACACCGCCTCAGTCCCCGCCCCTTCCCGCGCCTGCGCACACACGCCCGCTACGCAGAGCCCCGCCTCACGCACGCGCGTCCTGGTCCTCAGCGCCTGCCCTGCGCACGCGCGCCCCGCCCGCAGGTCCCGTTCCGCGCACGCGCGCTGCGCTCCGTAGGCGAGCCCTTAGCCCGCCCCGCGCACGCGTCGCACGCGCCGCACGCGCCCCGCGCGCCCCGCGTTCTCGCGCTCGCCCAGGCCCCGCCCCGCGGCCAATTGGCACCGCCGCGGCTTTTCCGCCGCTTATCTGTCGTGCGCCCGTCGACGCGCCTCAGTCGATCGAGTCCGTCGTCTGAGGCCTCCTGCGCCGCTGGGCCAGCGTTCGAGCTCCGGTCGCGGCCTGCCCGCCTCCCAGGGCCCACCCGGCCCCGACCCGCTGCTGCAGCGCGGTCCCTCTGGCGCCATGTCGCAGAGCGGGGCCCCCGGGCTGCAGGAGGAAAACTTGCAGGGTGAGGCCGCGGGGGAGCCGGGGTGGGGTGGGCTCGCGGGCCGCGGGCGGGGGGCGGCGGGGGCTCGCGGGCTGGGGGTCTGCGGGCCGGGGCTGGCGGGGAGGACCCGCTCTGGGGGCTTGCGGGCCGGGGGCTGGCGGGCCGGGGGCTGGCGGGGAGGACGCGGGCTGGGGGCTCGCGGGCCGGGGGCTTGCGGGCCGGGGGCGGGGGGGGCTCGCGGGCTGGGGGTCTGCGGGCCGGGGCTGGCGGGGAGGACCCGCTCTGGGGGCTTGCGGGCCGGGGGCTGGCGGGGAGGACGCGGGCTGGGGGCTCGCGGGCCGCGGGCGGGGGGCGGCGGGGGCTCGCGGGCTGGGGGCTTGCGGGCCGGGGGCGGGGGGCGGCGGGGGGCTCGCGGGCTGGGCGTCTGCGGGCCGGGGCTGGCGGGGAGGACCCGCTCTGGGGGCTCGCGGGCCGGAGGCTTGGCGGGCCAGAGGCTTGGCGGGCCAGACCCGAGTTGTGGGGTTCGGTCGGGGCGGGTGGCTCGCGGGCCCGGACGCAGGTTGGATCCCACCAACAAGCCTCAATTCCGATCGGCGACTGGCCGTCCTGCCTTGAAGTCCCAGCCCCCTGTGTCCGCATAGCTTCTGAAAGGCCGTGTTTTATTCCCTATCCGGTACTTCAGCGTTGGTTTTAGCGAGAAGCCAGGGTGGTTCAGGTTGAATCGTGTGGTTCTCCGATTTAAACCATTATTCTGTCCGTGGGGACCGTTAGGCCATCCTTGGGAGGAAGGAAAGGATGAAGGGGGTTGCTCGTGGTTCGGGGCTCAGGTCCACCCACCCACCTCTTCAGTGTAAGATAAGCAGCTTAAGAAATGGTACCGGCAGGTAGTAGGGTTTGTGTTGTTTTTTTAAGTTCAGGTTCCACTTGTACTAGCCGGTCATTCCAAACAGAGCTGGAAATTGATTTGTGGGTTAAGGAAAACACAAGCAGAGGGACACCGTCCCAGTCCATGCAGGGCTCCTGAGCAGGCGCTTGCCCTCCGTCCTGCGCCTGCCAGTGTGTGGATCCGCAGACCCTCCTTTGCATTTCAGAGAGCCGGGCCCAGACCGTAGGGCCCAGACCGTAAGCGCACTGCTCACTTGCACAGCCAAGTGGGCAGCAGCTTTGGGGTCTTGCCTCAGGAGGGCCGCTACCCAGGCCTTGTTCTCCGGGCCCCTTGCAGTGATCCCCAGGGCCCGGGAGAAGCCCGCTGACCCACGACCTTTGTATTCTCTGAAGCAGAAGTTCAGTAAGCAAAAGGAGCATGTAAATAAGCTTTGGAGAGGGCTGTTCAAACATTTGGGAATGAATTTTTCAGCTCATTAGGACTGTTAAATCCTTCTATTCAGAAACATCTAGTGAGCTGCTGATTATCTTTCTTGTTCCTTACCATGATTTTACTGGGCAAGACATAGTCTCATGCTGTGTGTAACCAACCACTTTTTAAAAGTTCTGTAAGCTCTTTAAAATTCTACATCGACTGATTTTCTTTGAAACAGATGAACACATTAAGGGTTTAAATTTTCTGTCTCTTCCGTAAGATACAGTTGTATGGACTCTTTGCCTTGGGATCGTCCTTTTTCTAATTATCAAGCTACTTCCCCAGCACTGTATCTTACTCACAGCCTGGGATTTAGTCTCTGCAGTGGTTCTGAGTCCTCCTGAGGGGGGCTCAGATCTCCGTTCCTTGACTGACCCCAAACTGCTGAGTCATTGGCCATACAAAATTGCCAGCTTCTGAGTTAAAAGATTTGTTCCTGTGTTTTGCCTATTCTATAAAAAGATGGTTACATACTGAGTGGAAATTCGCGTGGAGGCTCCTCTGGGCCCTTCTGGAGTGTACGTGCTGCAGGGCACTAGCTCGGCCCCAGCCCTCGTGGGTGGAGTCGCTTGCGTCACCCCACGTGGGGCCGCACAGCTGCCCTGAGAAATGTGAATCCGGGCCTGGTTCCTGGCTGAGGCAGTGCTTGTCCCGTCTGTCCTGATTTGATTACCTCTTGTTTATATTTGAACCAAGTACTGACCAAGCCCGGGTGAGCCCAGCCTGCAGACAACATCCTCCCTGAGGAGGCAAGAGCAGAACTGGTCTCTTTTTGCCCCCTGGTCCATTCTGTTTGAGCTGTTGTCTAGCAGGATACTGTGTGTGCTTTTCTATCCCCCTTAGACCTACACCTGCCTCGGTCCGGGTGGGAGAGGGAGCTGTGTGCCGATGGTGTCCGTATCACAGGGAGGGGCTTGCACCACTGACTTCCCGCGGGACCCCTGAGCATGAAGCTGAGCTGCTCGTGAGTGCCAGCCTTCAGTAAGGTGCCCGCCGCTTTGCTTCGAGACCGCCCCCTCCCCTCCATGCTTTCTCTGCAGCCAGCCCCACGGTTTGGTTGTCGCAGGCAGCCCACCGTGGGCAGAGGTGTCTGAAGAGAAAAACTGAATTTCTTTTGAAGGGAAACTGGAGGATCGAGAAGTTGGACAGTGAAGGGGTTTCAGCCACCTAGATCCTAGACCAACCCTCACATCTCACAGATGGTCACTGTGCGGCCCAGAGGCTAAGTGGAAAGGAGGGGAGGCGACCTGTACGATGAAGGGCCAGTGGGATGCTGGGAGCCTGAATGACAACATCTCCGACGGCCGGGGCCTGGTGCACCTCCCGAACCACCGGTGGAGGAAAAACCACCCCGTTGGGAACCGGGGTCCTGAGTGCTCCACCCCGTTTCGACACTGAAGTTCAAAGTTATGGGTTCATCAGGTCTCTTGTTCCTGTCTCACCTAACTTGAGAAGCTTTTGTTATTATTTTCTAAAACACTGTTTTATTTACTTATAAATAACGATTGTGTTTATAGAAAGCTTTTAGCACCTGCAATTTTGTAAATAAAACCCACCTCTCCCAGGGAAGAAGCCCGCTCCGGAACCAGCACCCCTCTGTTGACTTTCATCCTGCTGTCTGGAAGTTTCTTGGGATGCCTGCCGCTCCCCTCATCAGTGCTCTCTCCCACCCTGGCTGCCCAACATCGCCATTACAACTTTTTCAAAACATCCACGGGCTGGGATTCTGCATCAGCATTCCAGACCAGAATTTTCAGAGCGCTGGGCGGGCCTTCTCCACACCCGCCAGGGCCACGCAGTGGGTTGTGGCCTTCCTTGTGGGGCTGGAGACAAACACTTGCCTGGATGTGGAGCAGGCGCTGGGGCCAGGGAAGTCGCTGTCCTCTGTCACAGGGGAGGCAGGAGCTGTGCTGGGCACTTCATGTCTAACTTGTGGAGAGATGGGACGTGGCCTTGCTCTGTGGGGGGGGAGACATGGAGAGGGACGTGAAGTTAGGAAGGAGGGCTTGCCTTGGGTCTGTAACACCACGGTCTATTTCTTTGATTATACCAAGTTACTTGATAAGTTGTGATTCTGAGGAAGCTTTCTGAGGTCACAAAGCCACCTTAATCCCCACCTTTATTGCTTAAAAAGATGAGTGATTTTAACGCTCGCGTGATGTAGTTGGAGGAATAGCCAGCCCTGTGTTCCCTTGCCAGGAAGTACGCTTCCTGCTCAGTTGTTGCAGGTTAATAATAAAACACTCGTTCTGGTAAATCATTCTTGGAATACAGCTTTTGGACTCAAAGCTATAGACAGTCCAGAATGGGATTTTTTACTTTCTCAGGATGCTTAGGGCTTTTTAGGATGTGATTTTTAAAAAACATGAATTTGTCTCATTGGAGTCTTAAGTTGGCCCTTGTGATGTAACAGAAAATACGTACCTGCATCTCATAGTGTTACATGTTAATTATATGTTTATTTTTAAATTTTTTTGAAGATTTTATTTGTAAGTAATCTTTACACCCAACACGAAGTGTGACCTCAACAACCCCGAGATCAAGAGTTACACACACTGACTGAGCCCCTAGGTGTTCCAGTTACATCTGCTTAAAAAAAATGTTTGTATGTGATCTTTTTCCCTTCTTCTTGGCACAGAGCTCCAAAAACCCTTGGAATTTCTTGAGTGATACTAGTGGGTTATTGATCAAGAGCCCCTTTTGTGAGGGGCCCCTTTGGAACACGGTGTCTGGTAGTGAGGTGACTTGGGGGGTGGGGTAAGAGGGCGGACAGCCCCCTCAAGGGATGGGAGGGGCTGGAGATGGGCTAGAAAACCTTCCCACAGCAAGGGTCAGTTGCGTTGAACGAGCCCCCTTCCTCAGCCGGTCCTGCGGGGCTTCCCCAGTGGGCTCTTCCTGAGTCGTATTCTGTCTGGTAATGGGTAGGTGGACGTAAAGTGCCCTCCTGAGTTCTGTGAGTCGTCCTAGGGAGTTACCGCCCCGGCCAGGTGTCGTCGGGCCCCTGACGGGTGGTCTGCAGCGGGAGCGTGAGGGGCCCGGACAGCCCGCGTCAGCTGCTCGAGAGCTGCCGTGCGCTGGGACTGCGTGTGCGGACCCGCTCCGGCTTGGGTGCTGGGGGGACTGAACCCCTGCACGACGCCCCCCCATTGCGTGTCACAAGTGGAGCCAGGCCCGGCGTCTGGGTGACAGGTGGAGCCTAGGAGGATGGAACCGTGCCGAGCTGGTCTAGCTGGCCCAGTGGCCCCGGACTCCGCGCCAGAGCTTTCATCATGATGCCTCGGGGTCGGGTGGCACCGGAGGTGGTGGGTGGTGGTGGAGAGCCGGGCGCCGTGTCAGGGACGCCGGGGTGTGGGACGCCTGAGGCCCCTGCAGCCGCTGCGTGCCGCGGGGGTGCAGCCCGGGCCTCCTCGTGCGGGCCGGGCCAGCGTGAAGCACTTGAGACGAAGGAGAGAAGTCTTGTGCTAACCAGAGAGCTTGTGTGATCGTTTTGTTAGCTAACTGGGAGGCTGAGGGAAGCTGAGGGACAGGGTCTTTGATTTGCTTTTTTCTGATGGTGACCTATGCAAGCAACAACCGAGGGCAGGTCAGGACTGAAGAGATGCCCGCTTGGCGTGCTGGGAAGCTGGAGGCCTGCTGGTGCTTCGGTCCACGTGGTGGAGCGGAGTGGGGGGCTCCGTCCCTGCTGCCCGCACAGTGTTGGAGATCGCGTGGTGGTGTGCAGGGCCGTGCTGGTGTCTGCAGAGGGGCAGTTCTGGGTCACGATAGTTGTAAGACAGTTAGCTACGAACATGGCTCATTGCATGTCTCTGGTCTCTGCATTTCTGTCCGTATAGGCCGCCTTCCCCCTGCCCGTCCCGCCGTAGGCCACCAGAGTGGCCTCTAACAGATGGAGCTGGAAATACATAGACCTGTGACAAAAACAGAAACTGTCTGTCTTGTGCTCGGAAACAGACCTGCACACGTCGCCAGCTTGATTACTGACAGGAAGTGCACGGCACGGGGGCGGGTAAGGGCAGTCTGGTCAGTGAGCGCGGGCAGCTGGCTGTCAGCAGGGAAAACCTCACCCGTTTGGGACCACGTGCACAGACTGAACCCAGGCTCATTAAACCCAGATCTGCGTGAGGGTCCCCACCAGACAGGTCTCCATGGCTACAGAGTAGGAAGAAATAGAAACTGTGAATTAAAATCGAAGACTTCTATTAGAACATGACCTTAAACCTGAAAAGGCAAGCCACAGGGAAAGTTACTTGCAGCATGTTCAGACGAAGAAAGGCTTGTGTCTTGAATATTGAACTCCTACAGAAAGAGTAAGAGATTTTTGAACAGCTAATTTATTAGTTCTTTCAGAGAGTGCGTGGAGGGGCAGAGTGAGAGCGAGAATCTCAGGGAGACTCTCCGCTGAGCATGGAGCCTGACACAGGGCTCGATCTAAGGACCCTGAGATTATGACCTGAGCCCGAACCAAGAGTGGACGCTCAACCGACTGAGCCACCCAGGCGCCCCTTGAACAGCTAATTTAAAAAGATGCTGTCCAAATGGTCAGTAAACATAGGAAAAGATGGCCAGTTCCATTGGAACTCAGAGAAATGTAAAGTAAACCACACAAGACACCGTCACAGAATGGCTAAATTTAAAGACGGGTTTATTGGGAGGACCATACCTTGGTTCAGCTGTGTCAGAGGGCAGGCCTTTCCTAATACCACTGAATCTACACGTGCTACTATTTTTGGCTGCAGTCCTGCTCCTGGGTCTGTTGACAGAAACGAGAGTGTGGCCACCATGAAACATGAGCAGTTATGGGGGCGCCGGGGTGGCCCACTTGGCTAGGCGTCTGACTCTTGGTTTCAGCTCAGGTCATGGTCAGCGTCCCTCCGGGTGCACGCTGTCTCTGTCTTGCAAATAAATCAGCCTTAAAAAAACCTACCAGCAGTCAGAAGCACCAGTGGTTGCTGCCACGTACCTAACAGACGGACAGCTGGTGGCGGAGCCGTCCGGTGCATGCTGGGCCGCAGCCCCAACACGCGGTGTGCTCGTCCACGAGCACTTGGTGGGCCCCCAAGTCCAGCCCCATCGGGCGTTGCGGTTGGATCCCACCCCCCCCAGCTGTGCCAAGCCTGCTGCTGGCAGTGTGCTCGGGATGTCTGCGTGTAGGGTCGCATCCACCCTTCGGGACGGGCCGGACTGTTCCTGAGCCTCCCACCTGTCGGCCTCCCCAGACGCAGGCACAGCCGGCGGCTGCTGCTCCCCAACCAGTCCTTGCCGGGCCCCTGACTGGGGTGCTGACGTGTGTGTGAGGGGGGGTCCCTCTCCTAGCAAGCAGGCTTCCGCCGTGCAGCACGGCGCGCCCAGGGCAGTGTTTGAGGTCCAGCGGTGGGCTAGCCAGAGAGCAGCCTCGCTGAAGACGCAGGCTTCACTTGGGGGGCGTGGTGGTGGGTCGGGGGCGGTAGGTGCTAGGTTCTATTTTGGTAAGCAGATGATCTGGTGCCAAGACAGCTCTCTGAATCCACAAAATCTGGGTAGAAGCAGTTTGGGATGGATAGCAATTGTCAATTTTTAGTTCAAGTAAGAAGGCTGACTTCTTCCTGTGAAGATGTGGCTAATTGAATACGTGGGGGATGGCTTGTTCCGGTCAGTCACGGTCAGTGAGAAATTACCTTTGTTCTAGGCAGAGTGTGTTCTTCTGGCTTCGGAGGGAAGTAAATACAGAATAGCAGAGACGAGTTTTGTGGGGCCTCAGGATCAGAATGTGACGCTGGTGTGGAAATAAGTGGATAAGAGATAGTATAAACCTTTAAAAAAACCTTAAATCTCTTAAGCTCTTGTTGATGCCCTTTTTCTTCTAGAAGTTGAGTGGGAGAAAAGCATTGTGGTCTGTTGGACTCTGCTGGCCCAGCAGGTTACCAGGCACCACCTGTCTGGTGTCCAGGAATGGCAGGAGACCCGCAGAGGAGTGTCTGGGTGCCAGGGGCCGGCCTCGGGTCCCTGGGAGGGTGAGGCCAGGCCAGCCACTGGGATGCACCTGCCGGAGATGGGCGCCAGGGGTGTGTTTTGGCAAGTTTCAAGGAGTCGGCCTGTTGTGTGTCCCCGGCGCTTCTTAGACATGGAAGGGCGGGCTGGTGGTCTGTCAGGACTAGGCTCCGCAGTGGGCAGAAAATCCCAACGGTGCCCTTCTGTGTCTCCATCAGGCTCCTGGGTGGAATTGCACTTCAGCAATAACGGGAACGGGAGCAGCGTTCCAGCCTCTGTTTCTATTTATAACGGTGACCTGGAAAAAATACTGCTGGATGCCCAGCATGAGTCTGGACGGAGTAGCTCGAAGAGCTCTCACTGTGACAGGTGGGTAAATAAGCACATCTGTTCTGGTGCTGGTTCATCCTGCATGCGGGCCAAATCCCAGAGTGCCCCCCCCGCCCCCCCGGTTTGCGGGAGCCTGGCCCTCCGGTGGGAGGGATGGGGCCTGGTGTGTGGAAAAGCTGGCGGGGACGTGGCGCGCAGCCAGTCCCCGTGCCTCTGCCCCGGCGCGTCCTGGTGAGCTGCAGACGACGGTGCAGCTGAGTCAGAAAGCAAAGGTCAGGTGCCCTCGGGCTGGGCCTCGGAGCTCAGAGCCGGTGAGAAGGGCCTGCCGAGTCCACCCCCCACCCCCCGGGACTGGCTCCCCTCCGCCCGCCAGGCTTGGCCAAAGGGGAGCAGGGATGGTGGGAGGGGAGACGTGGGTGCTGGCGCCCGTGCCTCCTTGCTGAGGAGCCGGGCCTGGGGGGCCTTCGCTTCTCATGACAAAGCATGTTAACATCCCGTGATTTCTCGCATTCCCTTCTGCGTGCCTACCAGCCCACCTCGCTCACAGACCCCTCAAGACACGACCCGAGCTTCGGAAATAGACACGCACAGCATCGGAGAGAAAAACAGCTCTCAGGTGGGCTGTGGCAGGTGCCGGTCTGTCCACATGGTGAACGTGGCCGGTGGGACTGAGGAGGGAAAAGTGTGTTTTTTGTACGGGGGTCTCTTGGCTTTTTCTAAAGCTGTGGGGTGGGGGCATCCCCCCCGCAGGCCTCGCTGAGCTGAGCACAGCAAGTACGGGCTCTGCTTAGCACGTGTTGCGGGGCCTGCAGCCCGACGGGCCCTCGTGGCCGGTGGGGAGGGTCCCTGGGAGCCACTTTGTGGCCGGTCTCCATCTTGGCTAGCGGTCAGCGGTGAGTGGGTTCTGGAGAGCCTGGCATGATGCACGGAGCCCCTCGGGGGCTCTGCCAAGTGTGGGGGTGGCGTGGACATGCCGCATTTGGCTGCCAGAGCCTCTGGCTTGCTAATGGCGCTTGCGTGGCTCAGTGTTAGGAGCAGACTGGCCACTTACTCAGTCGGAGGCCACCGTCCTACCATGTGCTCAAATGCTTCCTGGGTCTTACACGCCGGGGCTACGTTCTGTTGTCAGGGAGGCCTGTCTCTGAGAACCTGGGGCCCTCCGGTGCTGGGCTCTGAGGCCCTGGCCCCCCCAGGACCACCGGACCGGCGCACGTTGGGATGCACGGGCCAGGTTTCCTTTGGGTGTTTTCAGTGATGATGAGAACACAAACAGTTGACAACTTCTTTCCCGTATTTAAAAACCGCGTAGGAAGCGAGGTCTTGTGGTTGGTACCACTGATGCGCTGGATCCCTCTGGGCCTCCCTCCCACCCAGGCCCTCCAGGGGCCCGGATGGTAGCTGCAGGGCAGCTGGTTGGTTTTGTCTACTGCATTCTAGAGTAGCTTTTGCTGATTTTCAAAAGGAATTACATAATCTGGTTTAGTTTTTTTTTTTAAAGATTTTATTTATTTGACAGAGAGACAGCGAGAGAGGGAAGACAAGCAGGGGGAGTGGGAGAGGGAGAAGCAGGCTTCCCGCTGACCAGGGAGCAGGGAGCCTGACGCGGGGCTCGATCCCAGGACCCCGGGATCATGACCTGAGCCGAAGGCAGACGCTTAACTGACTGAGCCACCAAGGTGCCCCTGGTTCAGTTTTTTAAATGAAAACAAAACAAAACTACCTGTGATCCTCCTTTTTAAAGTTCCCTATAATTAGCGTGTTGTCTTAACGCGTTTTAGTTGTAGCTTGAAAACACAGGTGTGTAAGTTTTCGGTTCTTTCCCTCCCACTGAACACGAAATTGTCCTTTTCCAAAGACTGTGGCTTTGGCTGCCAATCCTGTAGCCACAGACGCATGGGGTCTGCAGATTGTCGTCTAATCTGAAAGCCCTCCCCGCGGTCAGCATCTGCGTGTGGACGCCGTGTCCTCACTGCTTCCTTAAGGGACCGTGTCGGCAGCCCCGCGTCTGTCTGGGAAGCAGGGACGTGAGCGGAGGCCACACTGGCCTGGTGACGCGTGTGCGGGGGGACGGGCGGTGCTTGGCGTGGCTGTGTTGAGTGTTCACGGTTCTGTCGTAGTCTGAGGAAGATTACATTGAGAGAAGGAAAGAAGTCGAGAGCATCTTGAAGAAAAACTCAGACTGGATTTGGGATTGGTCAAGTCGGCCGGAAAACATCCCCCCCAAGTGAGTGTCTTCGGTGGCGCGGGGGCTTCCTGGACGAGCAGACGGCTCACTGGCTTGTCTTCCTCCCTAGGGAGCTGCTGTTCAAGCACCCGAAGCGCACGGCCACGCTCAGCATGAGGAACACGAGCGTCATGAAGAAGGGGGGCATCTTCTCCGCGGAGTTCCTGAAAGTCTTCCTCCCGTCCCTGCTGCTCTCTCACCTGCTGGCCATCGGGTTGGGGTGAGTGAGGCCGCGCGTGGCCTGCGTCCCGATAGTCCTGAGTACGGGGAACTTGTTAACCCTTGTTCAGTTACAGATCGTAAGTCAGTTTGGGTAACGTGAGCATGTGGACAAGGCCCAGAATGTGGACCAGACCCTGGGAGGGCGCGGGTCCCCTTGCTGGCCGCACTGAGATCACATCTGCCTGGTGCTTCCTGGATGCCTGGCTTCCAGTCTGGGTCGTCGCGTGTTGGCGCGGACCCCAGGCTCACTCCTTCCGTTCTCACCCTGTGGACGGATGCTCTAAACTGTCCCTCCCGCTGCAGCTGGCTGGGCTCGGGGACCCGCCACACCTCCCACAGTGCAGCCCCGTTCCAGTCGCAGGGAAGCGAGCCCCATGTGTCTCTGGCATCTCGTACCGTGGGCCGGGCTTCCCGCAGCCTCTGTCGTGGTGTGTCATGGTGTGCCACGGTGTTGTGTGCGTGCAGCTTGCCGGACAGACCGGATTGTCTTCACGGGCATCTGACGGAGGCTGGCCTCCAGGGCCCCGAGGGAAGCAGGAGGAGACAGCCCCCCATTTTCCCAGATCCCGTGAATGGGGCTGTTCAAAGTTGTAGGGCAGGTGGGCGCTTCCTGGTCTTGCAAGGTTCCTCCTGGCCCACCAGCCCTGTGGGAAGTGAGCGCAAGGCTGCCTTCCCTGCCCCCCACCTCGGAGTCTTGGAGCTTCAGACCCTCGTTCTGGGAACTGTGCCTGGGATGTGGCTTCCCAATGGGCCAGAGGCTCCTGGACGTCAGTGTCCAATGTGAAAGTCCTCCACGGTCCTGGGCCAGACCCTGTCCCCTTTCCTGCTCGGAGTCACCAGCTTTATTCTGGCCCATGTGTCTCAGCCGGGCTTGGAATTTTTTCCAGAACTAGCAAGTTAGGTTCCGTGGGAGCAGGGCCTGGTGCAGGTTCAGTACCTGGCTTGGGCCTTCATTTCAGGGTAAATTTCTGCAGCCCGCTCCCACCTAGCGTCCCTGCCTTTCCCTGCCAGACTCGGAGCTTGCTGGTGGCCCGGACCCGTCAGGGCTGCCTGTGGTGGTTGGAATGAAGTCCACCCCAGCAGGATTTGTGGGCTCTTTTCTGCCCGAGGGCAGGGCTTTGTTACTCCGCCAAGGCCTTGGTGAGGTGGGTGGTGGTGCCCCGTGGCCGGCTCCCCAGCAGCGTGTCACTGCATGAACGCAGAGTCAGGCTGTGTCTTGTGAGCATTTGTGGTGGTTGGTGGCCGCCTCTGTATGGGTATGGAGCACAGTTGGGGTTTTTCGGAATTAGATTATAAAATACATAATGACAAATCATGAAGCACTTGATAGATTTGTCACAGAGTTCTTAAAAGCGGGTCGAAGGTAGCCAGTCCCAACCACAGAAGCTCTAACCAAGCCCGAGCGGCCCTGTCTCTGCTAACTGCTGATTGCTTTTTCTGTGAAGGATCTACATCGGAAGGCGTCTGACAACTTCCACCAGCACCTTTTGATGAAGCGTTGGAAGCCGGCTCTCGCCCTGCAGCGGGGTTTCTGTCGGAGCTGGAGGCGGCGCGGGGCGAGGAGCTGCCTCAGGCTGGGGCAGCTGCGCCACTTGATGGGTCTGGTCTGTCTGTTCTGTAAATGCTGCGTCCCTAATTGAGTAGAACGGAAGAAGAGTTAAAAAAACCATGCCAACTTGTAGTCCTACCTATGGGATCAATTAATAAGCATGTCCTACTGATTAACATCTACTGTAATAATTTGGTAGTAAAATTTGGATATTATAAATATCGAAGTATAAATAATTTTAACACTAGATATGACATGTAGTATTTTAACAAAAATTATCTGTAACCAGTTATTCAGTTTAAAATACTTTATATTTGAAAAGACTACATAAGGGGTTTACCCCAGATGAATTATTCGTGGCCTTACACACTGTCCCAGGAAATACTGTGTTTAAGCGGATGCAGGTCGTCATCACTGAAGATCACGCTTAGCTCTGCAGTCGGTCACGCGGCGGAATCCGAGGGGCAGATGCAGACTCAGTCCTGCTCCAGCACGAAGCCGCGGGCCCTGCAGGGTGTTAACAGCTGCCCGGGCAGGTGGTCTTCTGTCCTGGGCACCTGCTAAGTATCTTTCCTCTCTTAGCTCTCTGGATTGCTGAACTTAGTCCTACTTTTTGTGTTCGGTTTTTGTGCTCTTAGAATCAGCTTCATTCTAAGCAAACCTGTGTCTACTTCCAAAGACTGGAAATAGAAAAAAATAAATCTTTGCCAAATCCTTCAGAGATGACTGTAGTCACAGATGGTTTAAATGAAATGTCAAAAATCTTTTTGATTAAACCAGGCGTCGGCCTCGTTGTCACCATTACCTATTGGACAGCATATTTTAAAGCCTGCCTCTTGGACATCCTGTGTGTACCCCGTTGTGTTATCTGTTAACGTTTCCATCCTCATTCAGTTGTGTTAAAATAACATTCTAAGTTTTTAAAATTTCCATTTATATTTAAATGATTACTCTGGACCTAGCAGCAGATAGCTGCCTTATTGGGAGAAAGCTGGTTGAACGGCATCGGAATTCATGTAACCTCTCTAGAAAAGATAAAGATCCAAGTCATGTGGACATGCTGTGGTCAAGCTAATCCCTTGTGACTTGCAGTAGATGGATTTGCCTATTGTCAGAAACAAAGGGGCTCGTTCCTTTGCTGCTTCTGTCCCAAGGGCCCCGACGGTGGGGTGCACGGCCGAGCCAGGTCCGGCGTCTTTGGGATCTGCACCCCTCACGCATAGGGACTACCCTGTGCCTTCTGAACCATCGCCTGGGCAATTTGGGGCCCTCTGCAAGGCAGTTCCTTTGTCCCCCTCTTGGTGGCATTAGTGAGCACTGAACTGAGCAGAACTGGCTGGAAGTCCTCCAGAACTGTTAGGAAAGTGCTCTTCTGTGAGAGACCTGGGCTTTCTAGAGGCCCCCCCCTCACACTCAGCATGGAGACGGACATTTGACTCTTTCAAGTGCTGTATTTGCATGGATCTCTGTGTGTGGTGGTCTTCCTTTTGGGTAGGATAATAGCCCTTTGTACTTTTCACTGTATTCACGGAATAGCAGGTTTACATGTTTGGATTATGGTAAATGACGTAAAACATGTAGTTGCGCTTCTGAATGCAGCTTCCTGATCCAGACACTTGCAGACTCTGGTGGGGCTCCGGAGGAAAATCAGGCATCACCTGGAAAACCACCTGCTGTTCCTTCTCACCGAGGACACACTTGTAGGGATCTACCCTGAAGATAAACGTGGGTCGAGTTGGAGACACCTGCAAGCAGTGTGGTCCCGTGTGCAGGCGGGTGGTGACTGCACCGTGGCGCTCCCTTGCTGGAGCCCAGTGCGGCTTAAAACGACCACGAGGGCTCAACAGACGGCTGGGGATTTCTGGGGTGTACTGGTTTCCCAACAGACAGGACCTGGAGTTGGTGGCAGGCAGCTTAGAGTGGCCACCACGTTTCTGATTGGTCGGTCTTCCCATCCGTTCCTCCCCAGGACTGGCCTGCTCCGCCCGCTGCATGTACTAGGGATTCCTAGTGCCGAGGGGAGAGGCCTACCTGGGGAGGGTGGTCCAGCTTCCGTATGGGCTTTCCAGTATCAGGCGAGCTGCCCAAACTGCAGACTGGTGAACAAAATAAAGTATTTGAAAAAAGAATATACATGGTGTGCTATCACTGCAAAAAAGAGCCAAAGAACACAACTGCTCACTTGTGGAAAAAGAAACCCCGAATACAGGAATGTGGGAGACTGGCTGCCGCCAGGGGTGGGGGGTGGCAGCTAGGGGGCGTGGGAAGTAGGCAGGAGAAGGAAGGCGTGTGCCTTTTTCATGATGGACTCAGAACCACAGCAATGCTTCGAAGCCAAAATCCATAATCGAAGCCAATGTTTTCAAGGGAATTCAAAATGCAACGCAAGTAGGGAAACACTACAAGTAAAGGAGGGCACGCTGGTGGGGCAGGGGAGGTGGACAAAGCAAAAGGAGTAGAGGGTGGGCCAGAGCCAGCGGTGGATTGTCATGGGGGGTTTCTGCATTAGCTCACAGTCTTAAACGCCTAGACAATCATGGCCATCCATACTAGTGTGTGTGCAAACACGAAGGTTTCTAGCTTTGTCCACAGGGCCTAATGAGCAATGCCAAGTCAACAGAAGGCTGGCTGGTCCTGGATCTGGTTCCTCACGCTATTCTTCAGTGATTCCAGGACAAGGGGTGGGAGTCAGGAAGGGCTCAAAAGCCAAGGTGAAGGAACCCACAGTGGCCCAAAGTGGGACAGGCAAGGAGCAAAGCCGCTACAGTGATGGACGTTGACCCAGAGACTCGCGGGCATCCCCGAGTCCACGCTGACAGCAGATGGGAGAAAGGCATAGTTCTTCCTCAACTCCAGCTGCGTACAGAGGGGCTGACGGGATGACTGACCATCAGGCAAACACAGCTGCCGAATCGTGGATGCTGGAGTGAGTGGGTAAAGGTGTGATGAAGAGCAGGAGGCCTCCCCATGGGAGAGTAATCACAAAGTGAAAACTCTGGAGCTTGACGGTGAAGAAGCCGCGTAGAGCCAGAATAAACCCATGCGCACACGGTCAATGACCCAACGAGAAAGGCGGCCAGAGCCCGTGGTGGGGAGGACTGTCTCTTGCGGAGATCTGGACCCCTGTGCTACCGCAGAGCACGATGCAGGGCGCCTGGCTGGCTCTGTGGGTGGCGCATGTGATTCTTGATCTCGGGGTTGAGAGTTCAAGCCCCACATGGGGCATAGAGATGGCTTTAAAATCTTGGGGTGCTGGAGTGGCCGGCTCTTCATTTGGGCTCAGATCATGATCCTCAGGGTCATGAGATGGAGCCCTGCATCAGGTTCTGCACTCAGCGGAAAGTCTGCTTGAGATTCTTTCTCCCTCTCCCTCTGCCCCTGCTTGCATGCTAAAGTAATTTTTTAAAAAAGATTTTATTTGAGAGAGCACAAGTGAGGGAAGGGGAAGAAGGAGAGGGAGAAGCAGGCTCCCCACAGAGCAGGGAGCCCGACATGGGGCTTGATCCCGGGACCCCAGGATCATGACCTGAGCCGAAGGCAGATGCTTAACTTACTGAGCCACCCAGGCATCCCTAAAATAAATCTTTAAAATAAGATAAAAATCTTCAAAAAAATTGTTAAAACCACCCAACAATGAATTTAAGACCTGAAATCATAAACTAGAAAAAAATGGGCAGTGGCCTCCCTGACACTGATCTTGGTGATGGTTTTTTGGATTTGACACCAAATGCAAAAGCAACAAAAGCAAAAAATAAACCAGTAGGACTACACCAAACTAAAAATCTTAACGCTCACCAAAAGGAAGCCATCAACACGATGAAATGGAAACCTACTAAATAGTAGAAAACATCCGTAAATCGTATATCTGGTAAGGGGCTAATATTCAAAATAATTCCTACAACTTCATGGTAACAAGTCAATTGGATTAAAAATGGGCAGAAGACAGGAGCAGACATTTCTCTGAAGACGACATCCAGACGACCAGTAGACACATGAAAAGATGCTCAACATCACTCATCAGGGAAATGCAAATCAAAACGACGATGATCTATCACCTCACACCTGTTGGAATGGCTAAAAATAGAAAACACGAAAACAACAGATGTTGGCAAGGATGCGGAGAAAAAGGAACCCTCATACACTGCCGGTGGGAAAGCAAGCTGGTGCAGCCACTCTGGAAAACAGTACGGAGGTTCCTCAAACAGTTAAAAATAGAGCTACCCTATGACCAGCAATTGCACTTCCAGGTACATATCCGAGGAAAACAAAAACACTAATTTGAACATATCTACACCCCACCATGTTCATAGTACTATTCAAGACAGCCAAGATTTAGAAACGACCCAAGTATCCATCAGTGGATAAATAAAATGTGTTGTCTGTCTCTCTCTCTTGCACTCACACACACACACAGAAATATTATTCAGCCGTGGACCTTGATATGCCATGATGCTAAGTGAACTAAGTCAAATACTGCATGATCCCCCTTATATGTGGAATCTTTTTTTTTTTTTTTTTTAAGATTTTATTTATTTATTTGACAGAGAGAGACACAGCGAGAGAAGGAACACAAGCAGGGGGAGGGGGAGAGGGAGAAGCGGCTTTTCCGCGGAGCGGGGAGGCCGATGCGGGACTTGATCCCAGGATCCTGGGACCATGACCTGAGCCCAAGGCAGACGCTTAACGACTGAGCCACCCAGGCGCCCCTTTTTTTTTTTTTTAATTTTATTTGAGGGGCGCCTGGGTGGCTCAGTCGTTAAACGTCTGCCTTCGGCTCAGGTCATGATCCCAGGGTCCTGGGATCGAGCCCCGCATCGGGCTCCCTGCTCCTCAGGAAGCCTGCTTCTCCCTCTCCCACTCCCCCTGCTTGTGTTCCCTCTCTCACTCTCTGTCAAATAAATAAAATCTTTAAAAAAAAAAAAAAAGATTTTATTTGAGAGGCAGAGAGCGAGCACAAACAGTGGGAGGAGCAGGGGGAGAGGGAGAAGCAGGCTTCCCTCGGAGCAGGGAGCCCGATGCGGGGCTCGATCCCAGGACCCTGGATCGTGACCTGAGCCGAGGGCAGACGCTTAACCAACTGAGCCCCTCAGGCACCCCTACATGTGAAATCTAAAAACAAAGCAAAGCAAAAACAAAAAATCAAGCGCATAGGCACATAGAACAGACTGGTGGTTGCCAGAGTTGAGTGGGGGGTGGGAGAAATGGGTAGAAGGAATGAAAAGGCACAAACGTCTAGGTATAAACTAAAGCCGAGGGGAAGTAATTCAGGGCGTGGCGACTACAGGTAATAACACTGTATATTTGAAAGTTCCTAAGGGAGTAAATCTTAGAAGTTCTCATCACAGGAAAGAGCGTTTTGTGACCGTATGTGGTGACGGATGCTAACCAGAGTCGCCGTGGTGGTCACTTCCCAGTATATGCAAATACTGAATCATGTTATCCACCTGAAACTTGTCTACGTTCATTATACCTCAACGATTAAAAAAAACCCCACCATTTCTAATAAGAACCATAGAATTATATTGCATTAAGATACTTGGATTTTAGAGAACATACTTTCCTCTGAATATTAGTTCTTGGAATAACAAATTCATGCTCCTCATCCTTATGGAACACACATTTTTAAAGATGTCTCGAGATCTCCAAAGACACTAACAATGAACTCTGGGGCAGACAAGTGAATTGTTTCAATAAATCCCAAAGGAACACCTGAGAGTCTGGGGAGGGGTGTGATGCCGCGTGGGGGGCCCCGAGGGCACAGGGCTCTGCCCGCACCTCTGGGCCCCGCTGCGCTCCGGCGGCCTCCCGCACAGGCGCGGGGACCTCTGTGTGGACCCGGCGTCCGTCTGACTCCTGGTCCAGGAGCAGAGCCTGTTAGAGGCGTCAGTGGGGCCCCAAGAGTGCCGATGGCGCTGATGAGTGTAAGGCAGAGGTTGGCGGCCTGGAGGGATCTCATTTGGGACGCGTCTGCACTCGGCCATGGGAACGGGGCGGGGCTCCTTCGGTGACTTACCAGCTACAGGCTTGTCGGAGACACGGCAGGTGTCGCTGGTTCTCGCCGGCCTCGAGTGCAGGGAGCTGAAAGTGAATGCAGGGCCGTGCTTGGGGAAGGAGTGCCACCCGAGGCAGGAAAGGACAGGCCAGGTGCCCCCGCATGGCAGCAGCCCAGACTCCCAGCCAGCGGGGCTGCTGCCTGCCCTGGACACCCGATGCTGGTGGGAAAGCAAGCTGGTGCAGCCACTCTGGAAAACAGTACAGAGGTTCCTCAAACAGACCCCACCTGCGCTCACGCCCCAAGAAGGGACATGCTGCCAGACGAGGCGTGGATGAGCCCAGCGGCCCAGGCCCAGATGACACTCACCTCCACACGTTCTTCTGTCCGGGATTCCCCGCTCATCCCTTCGGGGCCACAGCTCCATGGCGTGCAAGTGTCCCAGCGTCCTGTACGCTCCCACCCCTCGCCAGCTCCACGGGGGCGCAGTGTGGGGCCGAGGCACGGAGTGCAGACCGGAGCCCCCGACCATGACTGCGTGCCGCAGGGTACCCACCTGCACCCCACCACACTGGTGTGAGGGGAACCCTCGGCCGAGGGCCTGCGTGCAGCAAGCACCCAGTAGAAGGGGGTTGTCACCATCAGGAGTAGCAGGCAGGCCTGTCACTGGGCCTGTGACATCCCTGTGTTTGTTGGGGGGGAGGGTGCTGCCTTTTACCCCCATGTGATCCCTACCCCATCCATACTTGGCTCCCGGCCCCGCCCCCAGCCTGTGTGGAGACGCCTCGTGGGGGAACATGCTCAGCTTCCTGGGGTGCTCCCCGCTGTGGGCACAAAGGAGCCCCTCTGCACCGAGGATGGGACCCAAGGCAAGCACAGTCAAGCCTGGCCAGGCAGGTATGAGCTGACCACACAACAGGCCTTCCGGTGAGGGAAGGAGCCCGGGGTCAGGAGGCCGAGGCCTGAAGGCTGCCGTCTGTGGGCCCCGGACGCTGCCTTCTTTCCCCCCAGGAAGGCCCAAGGACCAGGGTCTTGGTCAGCTATCACACCAGCTCGTACGAGGCTTTTCTTGACTTCTGACACTCCCCTGCCAGAGCGGAGCCAGGTCATAATGAAATGGTGGTTCCATCCCTGCGTAACCCCCACGACACGGCCCTAGGGCAACCCCTGCCTCAGACCGGGGTGTGCACAGAACATCCCCCAGACGACAGGCGCCTGCTGGCCCTTCACCTCCGGAGCCGAGGTGTCGCCGTCACCCAGGCCGACTCAGGACTCCTCTGCGCACAGAGCACGGGTTTGAAAGACAAAAGCCCAAGTGCCAATTTGGACATTCTTCTCAACCCCCTCAAGCAAAGACCTGCAGCAATTCCTTCTGGGAAAGCAACGTGGCGACCCAGAGCCCCAGACTCAGCCTGGCCAGCAGGAACTGCCCACACGTGCGGAGCACGGAGCTCTGGGGACAGCCTGCAGCTGGGCAAACGGGGCCACTTAGCTCCTCGAGAAGAGCGGCAGAGACATGGCCTTTGCTCTTGTCTCACCGTGAACGCCGAGGATTTGCGGACAGCTGACCACCCGACTGAGTCTTACGCTAGCTTAGTAGAAGCTCAATTTTTCTTAAAAAAAAAAAAAAAAAAGAAAAAGCCTGTCTAAATCCACACATGAATAAAGCGTATTCACCCCAATCCAGGTCCCCAGCCTAGAGAGCACGACAGCTTTAGGAAAATGGCAGCACAGAATTCTAAGGATGAAAACAACTCACACAGCTGGCTTTCAGGAACAGAGACAATGTAACTGTAAACGAGAGAACAGGGGAATGCGGAGGGGAACGCTGCGGGGGCCTCGGGGACAGCACTTCCTCCGGCGGGGTCCCCTCCGTGATGCAGCGGCAGGCCTGATTTCTACTTGGGAGAAGCCGTCCGAACACACGGTGCAAATCCAGTTAGACACTTAAAATTTATTACACCTTTTGATCAAAATAGTTGAACACGTATATACAATCCCATTGGAACTTTTTTCTGAAGGACCAGGGTGGACTAACATGAGACCCCTGCGCCACACCTCAGATCTGTCAGTTGTGCCACGACGGATATACAGTAAGAATTATTTTTAAATTAATTGTACTTTGAAATTCTCCATTTCTAGCTGAATGTGAATGGAAGTGGCATTCTGTTAACGTTAATTCAGGGTAATGAACAGAATGTTCATTATCAAGACATTTGTTCTTACAGATCGGTATCTTTAGTAATCAAAATATGCCTTAAAATTTCAAGAGCGGTGCGCGCACCCCGGTGCTCCCGTCCCCTGGAGGTCGCTGTGATTGGGGCCGGGTGTGAAATCCCAGTGAGGGCCAGTCACGTAGCATTGTTACACCTCTCCAGTTTGTCTTGGGAAATGCTGATTTCGGGTATCAAAGATCCTACTTTAAAAATACGCCACCGGGATACTGGCGGCATCACGTAGTAATTGCAGTTGGTTAATTCTGCTGGCTTGAAACGCAGTATGAAATTGAGCATGCATGTAATCTCAGCAATTTTTAGAAAGAATATTCCTCCCACAAGTACTCTTTAAAAAGGTTTAAAGAGAAAGCACGTCCGTGTTCCCGGCTGTACTGGAAACCAGACGTTGTACGTCCGCAGCGGCGGTTCTGCTGCTCGAACGCTCCTTCTCAGAGGCGGTCCCGGGCTTTGCGCAGACCTTACCTGGCGCGTTACCTGCACTCTTTCCACAGAAACGAAACAGAGTGAGTTTGGGACGGACGGGTTCAGAGCACACGTGCTACCATTCTGCCAACGGAGGACAGAGGCTTTTCACATTGTTCCAAAGCTCGATTCTGCAGAATTCCATTATGTGCCATGAAAGCAAATAAAAAGCCGATACTTATCTTGGATTTAAAAACACGTTTTAGAGTGTGTTGCTTTTATTCAGTGGTCACACCAGAAGGCGTGATGGTAGATACAGGTGTGTGGGGGAGTAAAGCTGCCTGAGCCCGCTTGGCGAACCCACGCCTGCAATGGGGGCCGCCCGGGCTCGGAGGAAGGCAGAGGGGCGGGGGGCACGGCGGCACACGCGCGTGAAGGCCCGAGTGTGATGGGGGCGCTGGGGGGGGGGGGGGCTGCAGAGAGAGAGATGTTCCATCAGACAACTTTTCTCTTGGGTGTTAACTTTCTGGTCTACAAACTGGAAAGCAAGGCTCAGACTGAAATAAATACATTTATTCTGAGTAATGGCCATTATTGAGCACTGTCCACCAATGCTGCGCTGAGTGGGTGAGTGGGTGTTCCGCGGAGCAGCGACCCGGCCCGCCTCGCCGCAGGCGGAAGGCCGGCCCCTCCAGTCTGTGAGGGGGAGCGGTCAGCGCCTTGCTGCTCCTCACAGGGAGGAGGATGCGCCCCTCCTTGGAGAAGACAGCCGGGCTCAGTCCCCGTGCTGGCTTCCTTAGTTGACTTTGTCCTGGAAGATGTACAGGTTGTTGGTGGCAGCCACGGCGATAATGTTCTCCGCCGGGTGCCAGGCCGTGTGCAGGATCTTCTTATTGAAGTCCAGACTGTCCACACTAATCTCGTCCTTCTTTCTCTTACCGCCTGTACACACCTTCCGAGGCTTTAAGCTGGCTCGAGGCTTGCTGTTCTCCCGGGAAGCTTCCAGCGTGACATCCCTCCGTGTATTCCGATCAAACATCCTGAAGAAGTTGTTGTAGGACCCCGTCATGATCGCACTGCTCAAGACAAGAAGAGAGAGTAACGCCTGTCAAGGACGAAGCGCTCAACACCCCTGCAGCACGCGGGCCCAGCGCCCTGGACGCCCAGTGGGGTCACCTTCCCTCACCCCTCCTCTACCTGACAAGACCATTTCTAGAAATAAGAAACAACAGTTAAGAACGGTCAGGAGAGACATGCAATGAAAATTTCCTCCTGAACTGCTTATGTGCCATCATGTCAGCAAAAATATACAGTACAGAATAGAAAAGGAAAAAAGGAATAGCCACACTTTTATTTACACTTTTTTTTTAAGTGATCTCTACACCCAACATGGAGCTCAAACTCATGCCCCGGAGACCAAGAGTCCTGTGCCCTTCTGACTGAGCCAGCCAGGCGCCCCACATTAATGCATTTTTAAAAAGTAAAAAAACCCGACACAGTCATCTGTCCCAGCCATGAGTAACTGATTTATTTTCAGGTCTTGAACATTTCCAACTCTGTCAATGATTCAAAGTTGGTTTGTGTTCAGTGGACATTAGTCAGACTTTTCCCAGCACAACACACAGTAGCTCAAAGAATACTTTTTAATTCATTTTGATGTCAAAAAGTTCTTTCACAGGAAGCAACAAGAACACAAAGGGGAAAAGTCCTAGACCTTAGTGTGGGTCTCAGATGCTGCCGTGCTGCCCACGGTCTCATTTCTCCAGCATTAATTCTAATGGCTTCCGCCGTCTCTATAGTCGAAAACGTTTGTTACACTGGTACAAACTTCCGGTCTTTTTCTACAAAACTGAGAAGAAAATGGCTCTCAGCAAGTGCTGCCATGATTTGGCCCGTGGCCACCGCAGACAAGGAGGGGGTTCAGACCTTGCCCCGCGGATGGGGCGGATCCTGCTGGCAGCACAGCCCGGTCTCGGCAGCTCCCTGCAGTCTTCTCCTCCGAGGAGCCCACGGCCTCCTGTCTCATCGAGGCATGGCTAGTGGCTGACCCTGACTGCGGGCAAACCCCTCATCATGGTCTGACTACACTGCACCCAGAAAACAGGATCAACTCAGAAGGCTACTCGCAGCTACCCTTATTCCGCTTCTGCCCTCGAATGCCGGGAGCCCAGGGCGCTCTCCGGCTCAGCCTCGTGGGCCAGACGACGTCCATGGAAGGCTGAGCAGGAAGCGCGCCCATGTGGAGCTTCCGTCCACGCTCCTCAAACTTAACTGAACTCGCCACAATTCCTCAGAACACAGACCGGTAAGATTCTTTCAGGAGATGCTATTTTATTATCGGCACTGATTACAACTGCTGGTGCCTGGTAAAAACGAAAGCGGACCAACTTCAATACAGACTCATTATTTCTTTAGATTTTCTGACCGCCACGGCAGCACGGGAGGTGGGAGGTCGGCGTTCCCACTGCACTGGTCCAGTGACCCAAACCACACAAATGACCACCTTCCCAAGCACCTGGCCAGGTGGCATCCTGTCCCCTGGTGGCAAAGTGGACCCAGGAGCAAGTGGCTATGTCCGTTTCTGCTAGACAACCTGAGCACAGCCAAGCGGTGCCACATGACTGCAGGTTATGAACAAACAACAAGTTCCTTGTTCACTCACCTGACGGTGAACACTGGGCTCCTTCAGGGGTTCGCTAGTTCCTGTTTCTGAACATGTTTTCTTACCTGTATGTGCATGAGGTTCCTGACCCACGCAGGCCGCTGCCAGTCTCCAAACGGCCACGGTCAAGGCCACTGGCGGCCACCCCTCAGCCTGACATCCCCGTGGTTGTGAAAGCTCTGAGAGGGCATCCCGGTTGGTCTGACCTGCTGACTTCTACTGAGGACGAGCATTTTTATCCATTTTCTTCCCATTTATGAGCTGTCACTTTCCTATAGACTAAGAATTCTTTGCATATTCTGGATACTTCTCTCTTTGCCAGTTATATCTGCTCTTGCAGGTTTCATTTTTATTGTTGTATTCCAATATAAAAAAGTTTACCATGTAAATGTAGGTGAAGTTCCTACTGTTTTCTTCACCGTCTGGATCTGGAGCTTAAGAAGTCCGTAGTGTCCCGCATGCGGGCGGTGCTCTCCCACAGCTATGGCCCAGTCTTTACAACACTCAGAGCTTATTTACTCTGGCTGAGGGAGAGCTATAACCTGTCCCCCCAACACAGACAACCAATTTAGACAAATCAGTATCGTTCAGAGTCAACATTCCTCAGCTTTGCTCGCAGGGCCGGGGCCAGCGATGGCTGCCTGCCTCCCTGAGGTCTCACACCTGCTTTCTGAGTCTGCGTCCTTTCCCAGAAGCGCACCCTCTAGATCTGTTTCGTGAGCTCCCATCAGGGTGAACTGCTCTCCATCTGAAAGCACCTTTATCGCACACACGTTCTGAGTGATCCTTGTCTCAACACACACCCCAGGCTGACAGCAGCTTTGTCCCAGCACGCTGAAACGAGCACAAGGCGCTGCGTCATGCCACCTTCTGTGTGTCTGCTATGCTGAGCAGGCCACGCTCAGCCTGACCGTCCGTTCTCCAAAGTAGTGTGTCAGTTTTTCCATGGCTGCTTTTAAGATCTTCTCTTTGCTTCTGGTGCCCCGTGATTTCATTCTGACACAGATGTCGATTTCTGTGCTTCCTGAATCCGTGTGCTCAGTCTTCCGTCAGCTACAGAAAGTTCCTGGCCGTGTCCACGTCCTCCTGGGCACGCCTCCACATTTTGCTGTGTGGGCCCCACCCCCACCCCCGCAGGGTGCTCCTGACCTTTCTCAGGTCCCACCAGCCACTCCGCGCTGCGCCCTGGGCACCCCCAATGTTCTTCAGTTCACTAACCCAAGGTCTCTCTTGCTGCTCTGGATCTCCTACCAAGTCCACAGCGATTTTCAACCACTGTGTTTTTCATTTCTAAAAGTTCTGTTTGAGTCTCTGACAAACCTCCCAGGTCGTTTTTAGGGGTCTTGTTTATGGTTCCTTCCATTAATCAGAAAATATTTTCAGCATTCATATCTTATACTCTGCAACTTGCGGTTCCAGTATCTGAATCCTCAGAGGTTAAGTTTTGTTGCTGTTTCTGACTTGTTCACAGTAGCTTTCCTATGGGTACGTGGTTGGTACTTTTTACCTGTATGCTTATGTTTAACGGACTTTAATCTGGGGAAATCCCGAGTCCTGGGTGTAACGGGAGAGGCACACGGCCAGATTGCCTCAGGGTTTGCCGACAGTGTGACTGCCGAGTGCTCTCTCGCTGGGCTGAGCGTCAGGGCCCTGCAGTGTCCAAGCGCGGGCGTGCGTACACCTCTCTGCAGAAGCTCAGGGTGCGCTGGTTGTGACCCCAGACCCACTGCTCATGTGGCACTGCCTAGGCCCCTGGTGTTGCTGCTGGGGGGCCTGGGAAACGGATGACCGCATAAAGCACACACTGCTTCGCAGGGCCGGGAGTCCGGTGCTGCCTCTGCTCCAGGAGGCTCCCGTCTGCCGCAGCGTCCACGAAGCGCAAAGAGGTGGCAGTCGGTGTGTCAAGAGGGTAAAAGCCTGGATCTGAAGCAGTCTGCTCCTCTTGATGCCCAGAGCCCTGACTGCTCCGTAGTGCTTGACTCCTCGTTAGCTTTTCTAGATCATGGAGCCAGTCCAGACACGAACTCCACATCCTGGGAGGGAGGGCAGGCTGACAGTTCCACATCTCAGGGGATTTTTAGGCTTCCCCTACCCCCTAAGGTGTCAGACACGTTTCCCTTGGGACTCCCATCTGGACGCAGATGGATGATGCCTTTTCCATAATCCTGGAGTGTCTCACTGCGCGTGGACCCAAGGCTGTTAAGTGCACCAGCCCTCTGCTGTGAAACCTGGCCAGCCGGGTCCTGGGACCAGATGCTCCCAGGCCAGCCCAGTGAACCAGGTTCCCCGGCCTTCTGCTTCCCGCCCCCTCTTCACCCTGGCCATCGTGCACTCTCCCTCGTTTATGTGTGTGCTCAATGACCCACATGCGCAGGCCCTCTGCCACTCACGTCCCACAGGGAGGCCCTACCTGACTCACCTTTCTACTAGGGACGATGGGCGGACAGTCTCTTTCCAGCAACAGAAATGCACTGTGTTGTCTGAGATCGAAGACATGGCCCTCAGCAATACTGCCGTTATTACCCTCCTCAGAGAATGTGCACGAAATAAACTACCAAGACACCAGAGATGCCACCTCCTGGAGGCCACCAGGACTTCACGTCAGCCACCCCACCTGCTGTTCGAGCACAGCCACCAGTGAACTCGGAGGGCGTTTCCCCCTCTTGTTCCCTCCAGAGGAAATGGCAAACTGGAACACGGCCACTCCACATGCTTAGTGGTAAATCATTACCCCACGTCCTTCCTTCTCACTCATCTTGGAAATAATACAAAAAATACATGTATTTTGAAAATATTTTAAAAGCATTTTAAAAACCACCAAAAAGAACCTTAGTGCCGCATGTACTGTCTGAATACAGATGGGACCCAAGCGAGGGAACAGCTGCTCAGACGCCCTGTCGTCTCCACCTAGAACCTGCCGCTCGGCAGGCAGGTGGCCTGGAGAGCGCAACCCAGCAGCCCCCGAGGCAGCCCCCCTGCGTCCAGGGCCGGTCCACCACGACACACGCCCTACCTGTCCGAACCGCTCCAGCAGCACTCGAACTTGTCGAAGATGCAGTCATTTTCATACAGAGAACAAAGCTTGCTCCGCAGGTACTCGTGGACCTTAACGAAAGCACAGGAAGGTTAGAAAGCGCTGTGCGCAGGGGTGGCGCCAGGCCTGCGCGGCGGCCTCACCTGGTGGGTCTCCACGGGCCGGCTCTCCATGTTGAGGTCCCACACCTTCACCGACAGGTAGTCTCGGGTCATCATGTACCGACCACTGTGACTGAATTTTACGTCGGAGATGGAGGAGATTATTTCTGAGAAGAAGGACCTACTGCTGGGATCTTCAGGTTCTTCAAAAACTGAAAAAAACAAAGTTTTCAGTGTCTGTTTAACGTGGGGACGCCTGGGTGGCGGAGTTGGGTTAAGTGATTTCAGCTCAGGTCCTGATCTCAGAGTTGTGGGATCGAGCCCTGTGTCAGGCTCTGCGCTCAGCACTGAGTCTGCTTGGGGTTCTCTCTCCATCTTCTTCTGCCCCTCGCCCCGCTCACTCTCTCTCTCAAAAAAAAAAAAAAAAAAAAAAAACCACAAAAACAAAACAAAGCAAAAAACCTTCACAAAACAACAAACCGAGAGAACAAACCACGTTCAAGTCCCTAGGCCCTCCCTGGGGGCTGCAGACCGCACTCCACTCACGCTTCTGATCTTTCTAATCTCAGTATGTTTTCTGGCCTTCAACTTCTGAGCTTGAGAGACTTAGATGAAACGTCCCAGTGCCAGTTACTGCCAAGGGACAGCATCAGAAACACAGGCCCCCCAATCTCACTCAGACTCTGGAGCACTACATCCATGCCTGAGGCCCCGGGCTGCGGCCTGGAAAAAGCCCCTCAGGACACTCCCATGTGCCTTTTGGTCAAGAACCCCCGTGCTGACCACAGGCTGCTACCACACAAACACCTGCGAGTCTGAGCAGCCCAGGCCCTGGCGAGCCACGTGCAGACCTGTCCCGTCCATATCATGGGATGATGAAGCGGCGTCACCTGGGAACACCGGGTCCAGACTGTAACCTCCAGAATGGTCCCATATACCGAAGCCCATCAGGAAAAGGGGTCTGTCTCTGCTGTTCAGGAGTCAAGCTCCACATAACAAAACCGAATTACTACTTTTAGAAAGATTCCAGATGCTTCTTTAGCAGACCTTCCTTTCTCCTACAGGTTTTGCTTTCTAAGAAGCTCAATAGCCCTCCACCTGCGCCGCAGTAGGGACCTCAGAGGCTCCACCAGACGCCTGATCGCACCATCATGCCCTCAGCTCGGGAAACTTCGAGTGAGTACTTCCTCATTTTAAACTGCTTTAGTTTTTCTTTTAATGTAGAAGCCCATGTTTCTTGGTTCTGCATTTGAAGTTAATTTTAAGCAAGCCAGTGGCAATACCAAGCATTTACTCAAACTATTTTCCTGACAAAAACTACTTTTGGTATCTAAAAATGGTTTACTCAAGAACATTATCTTGAGGGGCCCCCAACTGTCTCAGTTGGTGGAGCGTGCCACTCTTGATCTTGGGGTTTTGAGTTCAAGCCCCACGTTGGGTGTAGATTACTATAAACAACAACAGCAACAACAAAAGAATATTCTCTTGAAAGACACAGGCCAACGTTACACGAGGCTCACTCTTCCTTGCGGGAGTCCTATAGGAGGAATTCTCTAAAACACAGTTAGCTGCAGAAAAATGAGAGCAAGGCAAAAGGTTACTGAGAACTGGTGAGCGCAGCACATCTAATGCCGGGCGCCGCTGGCGTTGCTACACGTCCTACGGGAAACACTGCGGACACAACGATCCATGAATGGATCTCACCAGACGAGAGAAGTGTCACAGGAAGTGAAAATCCAAGGTACTTCCTCGGACAGGCTGGTTTGACCTGTCAACAGACTGTGAGGACCCATGAGCAGAGTTCCCAGTACACAGTCCAGTCCCCACCACGGGACCTAATGCACGACACACACACTTCCGGTTTCCTATAAGGTCGGGCCTATTCTTTATGGCTAAACATAAAAACAAAACTTTCCTCACCTAGAAGAAACCAAGGCTCAGAGAGGATTAAAGCGCTAGAGCTTGGCCTGAGGGAACTGGCCCAAGTCCAGCACAGCTCACTGCGCACAGAGCCCATCCCGACAGCCGAGAACCGTCACGGGTGAGATGCGTTCTGGCAGCCTCAGCCGAGGTCCTAATGCACAGAGGTAGAGGCAACAGATGGTTCTCGGCTGGACCCAGCTAGGGAGTCCTCTGATGAAGCCCTGGGATTCTGGGCGGGAGGAACCCTACAGGCTGCCCCACCATGGGACGCCTCACGGCCCACGCGGTGCCAACAATGGGCCACCAAAGAGCCACCCGGGGACTTAGGGTCAAAAGCCAGTCCTACGCTTGCATGGGTATAAGGAGACCAGAAGAAACGCTAAGCCTCTGGAGATGGTCTCAAGCCTGGAAACCAGGATTAACAGGAGATATCCCGGCCCTTCCAGGCACTTACACTTGGAGTGTCTGTCACACAGGGCTGAAGAGCGCATGTCACACAGTCGGACGGTCCCTTTGCTGCTGCTGTACACAAACACGTTGCACTGGTGCGGGTGGAACTCGGCCGCGGTGATCACCTCCGTCAGCTCCTCCATGTTCACAGGCTTGATGTCCACGATGTCTGGAGGCGCACAGTTAAGGCAGAGCGCTTGGCGGGCTTTAGTCCACATTCAAGCCAACGTCAGGTGTGCAACACCCCGCAGCGAGGGGTGCGAGCAGACACGCACAGCAGGTGCTCCTGGTAGGAGAAGCCGCGTCCCCGCACTGCTCACACCACCGCCGTGCGCCTCACCAGTCCCGGGCCCACGCACACGCACGCACCGCCTGCGTCCTGCCGCGACCACGAACATTCCACGGGAGGACATCCCCAGCAAGATCAGACAAGCTCAACGATGTAAATAAGAAAAGGAAGCAAGCGGCCACTTGTGCAAAAATCCCATACCTATATCCATAAATTACACACACAAGAGAATTGCCAGATTCCAAAAGATTCTGCTTTTTCAAGAATCTTTTCTTGATCTGCCATCAAGAGCTCATTCTAAGCAGTTAGAACAGTGTTAACATTACAGCTTGCCAGGCAGAGAAACCACGCAACTGAAGAAAACAAGGAAAGAGTGGAATTTGGTTTTGGGTCGGGATGGAACAAGAGGGTCCAGATGAACAGTTCCACTGAAACAAGTAAGAAACCTAACACCACAGCTCATCACTGGACACGAGACAGCAAGGCCGTGGCCCTCGAGGGGCTGGAGGCTCCTGGACAGACCGAGCAGCGCCCCCAGTCACACACATGGCACGGTCTGCAAAGTTAACCAGGAAGCAAGAAGCCCAAGGTGCGCGGAGGGAATGGCTGTCCGTGTGCAGACAGGCGCAGCTGAGCGAGGACAGGGGGCTGTGGCTCTGGGAGAGGCACGACCTGCTGCCAAAGCGCTTGTCAGGGTACCAAAGGTACTTCTAAGGTAACCGTATTAAAAAATACAAGCACGTATATGAAAGCGTTCTGTGTTTCATAACCTAGGTAACAAGGAAGGGCATCTAAAACATGATTGTGCGACAAAATTTTGTAAAGGCAACGAGAAGTATGACTGCATACACAAATCATTTATGAATTGCAGTTCTCACAAATCATGAAGAAAAAGGATGAGATTCCAACAGGAGAAAAATCACAAAGGACAGTAAAAAAAAATTCACACTAACGGACAGTAAATTAACAGAAGATACTTAAACTCATCTATAATCAGATAAATTAAAAATGGCCTTATTTTGGTTTTACTGATGTGAAAAGTTATTTTAAAGAGGGTCCAGGGTTCTGCTAAAACAAATACTCCGAGGCAGTGGGAGCCCCCGCGTCTCAAAGCCTGCATGGAGGCTGGTGTCCCGCGCACCGAGGCTCACAGATGCGCAGGAGGGGCAGCAGCGGAGCGGCTCGGGGCACCGCGTCCACGGCTCCGAGTGCGTACAACCCATCCTGCAGCTGCAAGCGGGAAAGATGGTTCTAATGCGTCAAGAAACAACGAGGCTAGGGGCAGGGGCTTTCTGACGTGCCCCAGGCCCTGTGCTACCAGCTCTGCACCACGGGCTCTCGGGTTCCACAGAACTGCAGGCGGCACCCCAGGAGTGCGGGTTTACGGAGGAAGAGAAAGGCCTGGGCTGACATAGGGCCGTCATGTAATTAAGGTCTTCGAGCAGAACTCGGGCCCCCGACACCCCCGAGTGCTTGGAACTTCATTACCACCGTGTAGAGGATGAGCCCCGTTGTTCTTAAAACACAAACTTCCTAATACAGACATAAAAACTGCCTACAACGGTTATCTGTGGAGGGTGGGATTTGGTGTGTGTGGGGGGAGAACCTCCTCTGAATTATCTGCATTTTGTTCAAAATGGTCACATACTAATAGAAGAAAGAAGGATTTAAGATGTAAGAGTTTAAGGAGAATAAAGCGAAAGCAGGGAGCACGGGCAGGAGCCTGGAAGACAGGAAGCTGTGCCAAGCTGCACAAGGAGGAGGGAGACCCAGCAGGCAGCCGTCAGCACGCGGTCCGCGCCTCGTGTCCCGGCGGCGCCGCACGGATGGCAGAATCGTCGTACGCTCTTTCCATAACTAAGTCATCACATTAAGTACATAACCACAGCTGTACAAGGACATCAGACAATAAAAATCCAGTGTGAAATGATAGAATTTAAAACACCACATACACTTCATTTCATGGATTTTCTGGAGTACAAGGGAGCGCGCACACATGCCATGCCCCGTCTCGGCTACAGCCCAAGCGACCCGAGGACATCTGTGCCACTCTGGTCGGCCCGACATCGCCCCCAAACGTGGGAAATCCTGACTGATGCCCCTCGATGTGCACATAAGACAGGGCTCTCATTTCTGGAGAAATCAACAACTTTTAACATGAGCGAAGAACCAGTCGCATGTAGATTTTCACCGTAACGGTAACCATACCGCTGTAGCCTTCTTGAGAGAGATGAAGGTTTGAATATTCCTTAACAGCTTGTCTTCTATAAGGGAACTCACATGATCAGTCACTCCTCGGGCTGTGTAACTAACCACCACTCTAACCAAAGTCAATGTCTTCTATTCTAGTATCTACTAGCCAGTCTGTGTTGGGGGCAAGGGACCAGGCAACACTGAACCTCCAGTTACACACTATTTAAAATCGTCTCTCACGAACCTGGGAGGGCAATGGACTTGAGGTCATTCTCATTTTGTAGGGAACTCTCCCCAAAGGTAGAAAGCAGTTTCCATTCTTAGGGACACGTTAAATCAGAGAACTTACATCACAGGCTACCATGCAGCAAGCCATGTTTCGAGGTGCAGACTCAGATGCAGAAACACACATGCACTGAGAACTTCCCTGAAGAACAAACCTATGAATGATGCCAAGACAGCCATCTGATGAAGGATACTAAAACTTCTATCTGTGATTTCTAAATGCCATAGATTAATTCTCAGGTCATCTGCAGAAAGATATGTTTCATGATCACTATTTACTGAAATGGAATTTATATGATATGTGTGAGCATTTGCAAAAATTCGTCGTGGACTTGCTTCTACCATAAGATCCATGGGCTTCAATATTGGAACCTAAAAATGGAAGGAAATAGGAATTCAAAACAAAGATCACCAGAACATAAAATTATAACACTTACAGCAGAAAGCAAAAAACAACACATCTATATTCCCAGCGAGCTGAGAGTTCTGTACAGGCACACTACCCCAAATAAGCCGTGAGCAGAGCCGTGCGAACAGGCTGCGGATGGGGTCCTGTCCCTCCTGCGGCAGGTCTGTTCTTGCTGAGGGGCAGGCCACACGGGCATGGAAACAGACCGCCTCCGGGGCGCGGGCGCCTCTAATGGTGGGGCTTCACTGTCTGTCCCAAAGCCACGGTGAGCTCGTGGGACGCGGTCGAGGACCACCCCTGCCCCTCCCTGCAGCTGCTGCCTTGCAGAGTGACAGTCTGAGCCTCCTCAGTGCCCTGGTGGTCTGCTGCTCAGTGCACATGCCGAGTGCCGCCAGGGAGGGGAGCAGGGGTGGGAGAGCGCACAGGAGGGCCCCCGGAGAGCTGGTGAGGTGCCTGCTCCATCTGCTGCTGGCCACGTGGGCTCGTCAGCCTGAGAGCTCATGCAGCGGTTCACTTCTCTGGCAGAGACAGCTTCTGGTATGCATAATACGCTTCAGTGAGAGTGTTTTTTAAAGGGGACACAAAAACCCATGTCTGTGCTGGGCACTGCGGTCAGGGAATAGGACCTCTATACCACTGTGCAGACCGTGGAGTCAGCCCGGCAACAGGTGAGAGCAAGAGCCCGGCCTGAGCACACCTATATCACCACAAGAGGCAGGGGCGCCATCGTGGGTGATCGCGTCCACACGTGAGAAAGGAGAACAAGAGTCCCAACATCACTGACATCTAGTGGGAAAGAAGGCAGGAGCTTAAAAGCAAGATGAAAAATTAACAGTAGTAACTCTGTTACTTTTCTAATTAAGAGCCAAAGGGAGCACCTGGGAAGGCTAGGAGGAAAGCTCTCCTCTTGACCTCTCTGCCCAAAAGTCTGCAAGAATGAGCGTGGGGGAACACGCATAAATACTCCCTTCATTTTCAACCAGCCAGGTGCTGACCCCACGCTGGTGTTCTCTGGCACGGAGGTGTCTGTCCTGCAGGGCGCAGGGCAGACCACCACAGCCCTCTGACGAGTCTCTAAGTGATCAAAACACAGGACAACTCTCAGGCTAGGACAGAAAGGCTCCTCCTAACTAAATCCCTGTTCTGGCACTAAAAATGTAAGAGGAAAACAATTTAAAAAGAGCAATATTTTGACTCCTACTCAGCTAAGCTTAGACAAATAGTCCTTTTTTTAGCTTTTAGAGAGACAATTAAGAAATCAAATACGGGCCTAAAGTGACAAAGGTCAACTTACAGCCTGTGACTCTGAAATCTCAGTGTGTTCCTAACAGCTGTTTCTAATGAAACGACACTTCGGCCCAGTTAGACCAAGTGTATCTAGGAGACTGTATCAAAGAGCCTCTGAATAAAGGGGACACTGAGCCCACCAAGACCTGTGGGTTTTCCAGCAGGCACGTGAGCATCTGGTGTGGCGAAGAAGGCTGAGAGCGGGGGCTGTGTGTTCGGCAGGAGGCCGTGAAAGTGGTGGGGGACAGACAGAGACCAGGGCATCCAAAGCCTGCTCTGTTCGGCCACGCTCGGAGTTTCACATGTTGGCAGCCGGAGTGCGAGAGCTACTGTCACTCCCTGTGGTTTATCACTGCCACACGGATGTGGAAGGGCCTGGTGGCAGAGAAATCACCGGTGTTCAGATCAAAACATCCCGGTTCAAATCAGGGTTTTAGAAACTCGCCCTGAGTCAATCACATTGCTTCTCCGTGTCAACCCCCTGGCCGTGCAGTGATACTTTGGACGCAAAAGTCTACGAAGACACAGACCCACCTGCGCTTCCCTTGGCAACGCTGCTGTCCCCCACGCTCTGGGGAGCACTGCCCCCATGCCTGGGCTGTGGCAGTCCTGTGCGCCTGCCATCCCAGCACCCTGTGTGCACCCGGCACGCAGAGCTTGGGGAACGGAACCGAGACAGACCCCGGGTGCTCTGTACCTAGTGTCACTATGGCCTCTGCAATGGGGTGTCCTTCCCTGGAGCACCTCACTACTAACCCGGAACGGAACCGAGACAGACCCCGGGTGCTCTGTACCTAGTGTCACTATGGCCTCTGCAATGGGGTGTCCTTCCCTGGAGCACCTCACTACTAACCCGTGACGTGTTCACCAATGAGGTCTTCACTTGATAAATAATATTCAGCAAAGCTTTTAAACCCTGTTAAAAAATAAACCAGCCAACCAACAATTTTCACATGCATGGGGCAATGGTTTTAGGGAACACCTCAGGACTAAGGCCAGTGCTGGTCTTCCTGCTCCCGTCCCGTGCATGCAGCACGTCCTGGCGCCCCACCTCCCTTCCCGTATCTCATCTCGTCTCACACACCCTCCAGGGTGTGCACCACTGGGCAATGACCTGACTCAATTTCACAGATGTTACAATGTGAACCAAATCTAGGTATCAGAACTGATGAAGATGGTCGTGTCACAGGGTGCCCAGGGATACCAAAAAGGGAGTGAAGAATTAACAATTAGAAAAGGAAGTGATGATACTCTGGACTGACAGGCAAAGGATTCTGAAAGCTTAGAGTGTGCCTCAGCTAACTGAGGAAATGCCACGAAAGCCCCGGCAGTGCGCAGCTTATCTCGCATCCACAGTCCACGCGGCTTCATCCCGGGCACCATTCTGAGTCCCACGGGGACCTCACCACCACCAATGTGCTACTTACAACCTTTGCAGTGAAAGGCAGTTGATACACTAAGAAAGATGTGTTGTAGGATTAGACCTGAGTCTTTAGTATCATTAGATTTTCTGAAGTTACTGTGTAACTTCCTACTTATGTGAAATATGAAGAATCCCAATTCTAACACACAGATACACTGATGACTACAATTACAAACAGCTTCCATGAACCGAGAGGGCAGATGTCACAGCAGTCCTACTCAGCGGTCTTCTCTACACAGCTGACTTACGCACCGTCCCCGATTAACTAAAGAGAACTGGGTAGTTTGAGGAAAGGCAGCGTGTACCCGCAGTGCTGTGATTCGAAATGGGTCTCGAAGCCGTCCGTCTTCCTCTTTCAAGTTATATCCTTCCGCTCTTTTGTCCCGTTCGCTTATTTTCCATAATTTAATAGTTTTATCTGCAAATAAAAACCTTAGTGTCCATATTAAAAGAAAGACTGTATCATGCGCCACTATTAGTCGAGTATTACATTAGAAAACTGTGTGGTTCTATGCTGACTGGTAAGCTCCGAGACTCTGAAGGTTACTTCCAGTTACGGATGAACCTGGACATTCTCTCTGCACAGTAAGTAAAGTGTGCAGGCCTGTGCCGTGGCAGAACCACACGGGAGTATGTGTGCACGCTCACTTTCGTATACTTTAAGCTTTCAGCCAACCACCCGCTACCTAGCCAATAATTTACCTTCTCCCCAAAGTTTAAAGCAGAAACGACTTCTAGAATGGGTTAAAGTAAAAAGTAAAGTAAAAATGTGCTACACTCAGCAAATTAAAAATAAAATCCTAAATCAAATAACCACTTAAAAAAAAAAAAAGCTCTTACCATTTGTAGAGAGTAGAAAATGAGCAGCATTCTGTTGTGGTAACCACCTAATTTTATTAATTTTTTCCTCAATTTCTAGACTTTTCAAATAGTCAAACTCTGGTTCATGACTTTGAAAGGTACTGTAAACATTATATTCTCCCCTAGAGTGAGGGCGACTTTTGTTCTGCAAGGAAACATGAGCTGGGTTAATGAACAAAGCACAGTGCAGAGAAAAATGCAGTACTACCAATTTGAATATAAAATGACCACACACATTTTAAAAGTTAAAGAAATCCTGGGTCAAAAATTATCAAACAGAGGACACTCCGAATTAATTTACTTGGAAAAAAACAGTAACAGATGATTTCGCAGACCTTCTCTCCTGCTCCCGGGCGCGCACTCCCGGGCAGGGTCTGCGGATCAGCCTGCTGCCTGCACAGGACGAGGCTCCATCACGTACGCGCATTTTCTGGAGGGGCTGGTGGGCCCATGGAGGGGGCAGCACCGTGCAGCGTGGCGCCGAGCGGTCTGCGCCGAGCCCTGGAACAGCCCACCAAGACAACACTCGCACCCCCACCCCTGGAGGAGGACGACTGAATGGTGCTTGGGCGGTGACCAGCACCAGCAGAGGACCCCTGTGATGGAATTTTTAACACACGTAAAACAATTCTATATGTTACAGTAAAAGTAGAAAAACATGCTTGGGAAGATGCATGATGTCTTCAAAATAGTAACCAACTCTGGGAAGGCAGGCAGAGTGAGAAGGTAAATTTGGGAACAAAGCTGGAAGCCAAAATAGGGAGAGCACAACGGGTGCCTCATCTACCTGCTGAGGGCTTGCTTTTCTTTTAGGAAAGAGGAAAACCTAGGTGGTGGGTTCATAAATGTATTTTTATTAATCTCTGAAATCTTTTGTATCCAAAATGACATTTTCTATGAAACAGTAAAAATATCACATAACTAAAAACCAAGGACACCAAGATTTTGTTTAATTCTTGCTATATAATCAGCATCTAAAATCTTACGTTTTTATACTTTAGGCTGTGTGTCAAGGAAATTGAAAGAAACAGAAGAACATTTATGTCTAGATTTCTTCGTATTTCTGAATTAAGATAACCTATTATGAGAAAACATCCCCCCAGCTCCCTGAAACTCTCTAGCACGTGGCTTTTTATGTGCCGCACACTCCTGGAAACCATGCATGGACCCCAGGATGTAGGACATGGTTTCCACGCCTGGCTGTGTTAGGTGCATTAACTCTTTCTTCAGGCCCGCACGCCTCTCTACGAGAAAGCAGAAAACACCAGCAGATGGTCTACCTTGCTAATGAGAAAGAAATTGAAATCTTTAAAAAAGAACCATCTGTGGCATCAATGAGTGTTTCTGTGAGAACGATGAGAAAACAGAATATTAACAACTATATGTGGCACCCACCCCATGGGCCACCTGCCCTTCCCGGCCATGCTCCCCAAGAACCGCAACAGACGCTCCTCATGCTGCAGGCCCGTCTTCCTGTTGTGAACTGCACCAACCCCCACCCCCAACACCTAAAACCTCCATCCAACAGGCTGAGGCCCTGCGTCAGCCTCCGAGGATCCCCAGGCAGTGAGTGGTCTCCACGCTCTGTCCAGGGAGAGGTAAGAACAGATAAGGCGAGAGGAAGGGCCTCGAGGAAGACTTGCTTGCCCATGGCAGCTGGGTCCCGAGGAGAGAGCAGAGCCAGGGCCGCCGAGGCTGCCAGCCTGGGGCACTGGGAACAGGATGGGCAAGGACAGGGAGATGGTGGAAAGTGCATTTTGGTTTCAGACACACTGAGTGCTGGTGTCAGAACTACCCAAATTGAGTAATTTGCACGATGAACTGCAGAGCGGAAGCATGTCCCTAAACTCTGCTCACCTCACACTGACAACGCTGGGCTTCCCGAAACAGAGGGCTCTGCCACTAAGAAGAAAAAAAGCACGAACGTCACACTGCTAACTATGGTCCCTGCCTCGCATCATGTGCACATCCCAAACTTTCTGATGACTCCCTCTCGCCCCAATCTCCTGGCCTGACACCCACGCCACCTTCCGCAGTCCAGCACGGCCCTGCGCTGTCCTCACACCCTTGTGCCTCCCATAGGCCTGCGCCCTGGGGCTCCGCAGAGGGGGCAGTGGCTGCTGAACTGAGAGCACTGGAAAAACCCAAGTCCACGGTGAGGGTTATATATGGCAACCACCAAAATACTTTAAAAGCAGATGGAATATGAAGGCTCTTTTTATGTTAACGAAAACATGAAGAAAAAGATGGGGTAAAAAGCTGCCCGGGGTTTATTAAGTTGCAGATGGCTGGGTTTACCAACAATGTCAACAACCCGCTGCTGTATGAATCTGCTGCTTCACATTATTAACCATGATTTAATACATCTTAACTAAACACTTCATGCTACAGGTTCTCAAAATTGTGACGCCCAACGTATTTTGTAACAAGATGCTCAAGTTTTACTATAATCTATCTCACATTTGAAGCTAGTATTTTTTAGGTTTAAATGATGACTCACAAAAATGAGAAAAATTTCATTTTCTATAAGAATATCATTAAAATGGCAAACTTTAAGGAGCTAAAAGTGAACTCTTAAATTTAAGACAGTTATGACTCAGCAATCTGCTAAATAATCCTTCTGCTAAAAGTAATAAGCATAGTTCTTTTTAAGCAGCACCATGTAATAGTCTACCTCTGGGACAGAATGCAAAATTATAAACTTATCAAATCATCTGTGAAGATCTAGGAAGACTAATGACAATATATTCCACAAAAGAATTCTCACCATCTCAAATGAAAAAAAATAGGATTAAAAAAGTTTTTAAATCTACGTGGACATAATCAAAATTAGAGCTGCAACAGGTATATTTGAACGATGAGATGTTGGCGTTCCCTAAATCTCTTCCCACTGACCAACGCAGTCCTTCACTTTGACTGGGGGGCCCCAGGGCCCACCCTCCACACATGCCCCCCAAGCGCCCCTCTCTGGCACGGCAGGGCTGACATTTGCTGCCATGCAGATCTACTGGAAGGGAACAAGGGCCCACTAGATGCCATACCAAAGTTTTACCACAAAAATGAGGGGCTAGAATCTGGAGATGGGAAAGTAACTGCCCGCAGACCTGCCTGGACACAGACAAGGGGCCCTGTGTGTGAAGCTGTCAGAACCGAGGCTGGGCCGCGCCGTGGTTCTTGCCCAGATATGTGCACAACAGACCAGCAGAGCAACAGGCTGTCTCGCTTCCTTCCTCAGCACTCGTCACAAACTCTAATGAGGCTCCCCAGAAATAAGGGGGGGGGCTGGCAAGCCTGGTTCTACCTCCCATTCTCCTCTTATGCATAACTGAAAAAGACGGGTTTCTCTGCCCTTTCCCCCCAAAAGAGGGAGTGACCTACAAAACGGCTCATGAGTGCGAGTCATCTGTGGGCCCTCCAGGCCCCGTTCTGAGGACTCCTTCCTCTCAGCACTGACAGTGGGGCCCTCAGAGGGCATGGAAGAAGCAGGCTGCTCACCTCTGACTGAGGAGGGAGAGAATTCATGGCCCCCCAGTACACACAGACTCTTCCCCAGGGGCCATTCAGAGCACACTGCAGTGCTGGACAACAGGGCTGGGGGCCAGCACCTCCAGGGCTACTGAAGTGATTCTCACCCACAGCCACTTTAATTAATTACAGGACGAAAGCAGAGAGATGCAGCGCTCCACCACCCCACATCCTTCATCTGGTCCTCACGACAGCCTGGGGGTAGGGCAAGGACTCTCCTCTCCCGAAGACAAGGGCACAGGGGACTCCATCGGAGCTCAGTGGTTGGACGTCAGTGGGCGGAAACACAGATCTTCTTGCTCACCCAAGATAAGCAGCTTCTATACGGTTAGTGTGACGTAACCGAATCTAAGTGAAGTCAGCGGCTGAGAAAGTGCCTGTGTTTCCCTCCTTCCAAGTGACATGAGAAAAGCTGGCTTTCATTTGGCTTGTGCACTGTGAATCACTGACCTCTTGTTCCCGCTGAAAAATAACAACTCTGCCGCCCTTGTCTCCCGTTGCAAGAAGATCTCCAGAGTAATTAAATTCAACAGTTGAGATGATGTCAGCTGTCAATAAAATACAGAAGCAATTTACCAGATTATGATTTTAGAAGGAGTCATAATATCAAAGATCAATAAAAAAGGTTCAAAAGAAAGACAGACACATATAAAACTTTCTCCCTGGATAAAGCAAAATCTTCATGGGAAACTTGTCTTTACCAAGCAGCCAATTCCAGTTGCGGCACCCAGAGCCCAAGAGCACGTATGGGCTTACGGGTTTTGCTCAGTGGATTGAATGCTCAGTCCCTAGGTCACCAGGATTTATTTAGACTGCATTGTCTTAATATAAAGATATCGACTGAAAATTTAGAAAATTAATTTTGAAAAGACAAAAAAAAGAGTTGGTCCTAGAAGACTGTTGTCTGATTTTATGATGCATGCCTAATATTAACTTATAAATCTGATTCTTACATGACATTAACAGGTGTTTTAATATTCTTTGCAATAACTTTCGCTGGCTTCTGTACATTATACACAGTACAAACTCCACTTCGCTGACCAGACACAGCCATTACCATCGATAACGACATCATCGTTACCTAGCGAGGCACTGCTGTGGGACACCTGAGATTTCTGACACTAAGCACACAAAGATCTTGGCCATCAGCTCACTACGGGTAAGGCCATAGGGTACAAGCAACAAAGCCAACTGCAAGAAAAGTCCTTGGGAGTTCTCCAGCTAAGGTCTCGAGGGAACAGGTCGCAATTCATGAAATGGACTCCTGGATCGAGGAAAAGTTTTAGAAAAGAGTTTTCTCCTGCTCGGGGGCACAGAGTGCGGGCTCAATCAGGACAAGGACGTGGGTTTAGTCCCACATGGGCTGCTGTCAGCCCGCTCCATCCAGCACAGGGACTCTTCACCTTCGCCAGCTGCCCAGACCATCTCATCTCTGGCTGCTGTGAGGACGAGGACAGGCTGGATCAGTACACACCCGTCCCAGCTGCTGCAGCACCGACAGAAAGGGCCTGTCCGACTGGCAGATGGGAGTGCGTGCTCTGCACACACACGGCCCCACAGAAGAGGCGGAGTGTTTAAAGACCAACACTGCTACACGGCTCCTGGAACAGCTTGTCCAGTCCTCGGAAACAGACCCCAATACTCAAAGTACTTGAAGAACTCCCCTCGCCACTCCCGAAACTGCCATAACATGATACAACTCTTAAAGGTGTGCACATTTTAGTCCAATAGTTGTTAACACAGGACTTCCTGCGATACAGGCTCTCACCTGCACTGGGCACGACTTTTTAATTTTTTAAAGATTTTGTGAGAGAGAGAGAGAGAGAGAGAGAGAGAGAGAGAGAGAGAGACTGAGAGACAGCAGGAGAAGGGGGAGGGGCAGAGGGAGAAGCAGACTCCCCGCCCAGCAGGGAGTCCGATGCAGGACCCAGGGATCATGACCTGAGCCAAAGGCAGCCGCGTAACCGACTGAGCCACCCAGGCGTCCCCTGTGTACGACTTTTAAACACACACTGAATTGTTTTGCCTGGATGTCTTTCCTTTCCTTTTTTTTTTTTAAGAAACAAAAACACAAAACACCCCTTCAGTTACAGCTGTGAAAAGAATTAGGCTTCTTGTTAGAAGTGCCACTTTTTAAATTAAATTACTCAAAATAACCCAATTTGTTTAAATAAAATTAAAATATTCTGTATTGGACTAAACGGGACTAAGTCTCTGTCATCCATACCCAGGGGGTGTACGATATTATATAATTAATGGCATCCTAGCTCTGTCAGTGATTTTTAAATTTAATTAAAAAGGACTGAATCTTTTAAAAGAGAAACTCCCATGACTACCACTGGTGAGAAATTATTGTCATTAAGCTGTGCAAATATGTATGAATCTAAAATTAGAAAATGTTGTCCGCAGAGTTTAGAAGAGCTCTAAAGTCAAAATAAATATACAAACTAAATACCAACGAAATTTAAATTACCAACATGAGTTTAATGTGATGGCCATTACTTTACAAAACTAGTGTCATGCTAAAGCGAAACCATGGTACTGACTGAGGGCACCCAGTGGGGCCTTTACACCTGCCGCGCACCGCACGAGGGCTCAGGCACACCGCTCTGGCTGGCTGAGCAGCCAGAGGCCCCTGCGCAGGGCCCACGTCAGCACCTGCTGGCCACAGGGGGCGACACTGCATTTGGGCAGTGGCCGCAAGGCTCCCATGCGCTTGTGCGCCGTCTGCGCCGAGGCACTCTGCCGGCAGGGGTCCTCTGGCTGATGCAGAACTTACTCAGTAAATCTCTAAGTCAGATTCCGAAACCATGACACATGCCTGGCAGCCCCTAAGAACCCAGCTCAGACTTTCTGTCAAGTGCGGCCCACTGTGGGCACGGGCCTTTCCGTCCCACCACCACTAAGGTGCCGAGGAGAGCTGGAAAGGTGTCCATCCACAAAGCAACAATGGTGGGCAGGCTTTGCCACGCAGATGACAGCAAGGGGCGGAGGCGTGGTAGGTGACAATCTAAGGGGGGGCGATGTCTCAACCTGCCGAGGGCTTCGGCCAGGCTGCACACCAGGTGCTGGGCATGGAGATGGCAGAAGGTCAGTTTCCCGAACTGCTGGGTCCCCAAGCTTGTCCCCATCCTGTCAGGTGGGAACACACAGTTACTCCCCCTTCCTGTTTCCCAAACGCCGGCTGCCACGAGTGAAGGGTTCCCACCATCTCCAGGGCTCCTCTCCGAAATGATAAATCTCCAGAGAAAAGGCCTCAAGATTCAAACACTTGGGGTCCTTGAAGAAATGACCAACCAGGACGTCTGGGTTGCTCAGTCGGTTAAGCCTCTGCCTTCGGCTCAGGTCATGATTCCAGGGTCCTGGGATCGAGTCCCACATGCTTCTCCCCCTGCCTGCCTCTCTCTCTCCCTCTCTGATAAATAAATAAAATCTTAAATATATACATATATATATATATTAAAAAAAGAAAAGAAAAGAAATGACCAACCACAGGGAAGCCCTCCAGCTGGAAAGCCCACCTGCTCACGGAACTGCCTCCTGGCTCCAAAGTGGCTGCGTCTTGGACATGAACTAATCACTCAGGGTCGCAGACAGGTGAGAGACAACGCCGAAACAAGGAAGTTGGAGGAAAGAGGGGCAGCGCATCAACACAATGTCAAAGAAACAATTAATGTCCTCAGGGAGCTAATGCCTGCCAACAGGAACGACCTCAGCAATGTTGGCCGGGCGCCTGCCAGGGGCCAGGTGCTGTTCTAACGGAGCACGGCCCTGTGTGAAGCTAGCAAACCTCCAACAGCCTAGGAAGCAGGGCTCCTGTCACCCCTCTCTGAGGGAGAAGCAGGCCCTGGGCACTGTATCCAGCTCACCCGTGTGGCAGCCTCAGCCTGTCATCAGGGCACAGGCTGCCAGCCACCTCATCCAGCGGGCTCCCTGGAGGATGGGCTGCATGCTACTACAGGGAAAGGAAAAACAAGGATGTGAGCTTCGAAAGTCAAACGGTAATAATTTCAGAACTCAACACGTCTTCCAAAGGGTAGAACAAAAGACAAAGAGATGGACAAGAGGAGAGAAAAGATGATCAGAGGATCGGGGTAGATGGCCCATCACCAGGCCACAAGCTCCAGAAAGATGAGAGAAAAGGAAGTGACACAGACGTCAAAGGACTAAGATGAGTGTGTCCCAGGGCAGGAGCACAGGGGCCTCCAGGCTGACAAGGTCCGTGAGGGCCGAGCCTGACCCCGGAGCAGACCCTCACCCACAGTGCCTCACTAAGAAAACTCCAACACCGAGGATAAAGGGAGATTCTAAAATTTTCCAGAGAAAACAAACAGGTAACACACCAAAGGAATCAGATGGCAGCAGACAGGACGCAGAAAATGGTAGCTGGAATACCTACTATCCTCAAAATTCCGAGAACAAATAATTTTCAACCCATAATCCTACACCTAGCCAAATTTTCAATCGCGTTTAAAAGGGAGGGTAAAGATGTTTTCAAACATGCAAAAAAAAAAAAAAAAAAAAAAAGGCAAAAACCACACAACTAAAACCCCTTTTCTCAGCAAACCACTGTAAGGTGCAATTTGGCAAAATGAGAATAAACCAAGGGAAAGGAAGGTGGGGGACCTGACATGCCAACGCTGGTGAAGACAGGATAGGAGCCAATGGCTCCGGGAGCAGCAGTCCCGGCTGGGGGGACGTCGTCGGGGGACAGGAGGGCTGGACAGACGGTGCCCGCTGTGTCTGGGACCCGCAGGGCAAGGTATGTGCACAGCTGCCGCAGCATCTCTTCACACGCACCACACAGAGAACCAAGCATATGGAGCCACCAGGCAATCGTTAGCTCTGGGGAAAATGAAGTTTGTATGAAAAAGAAAATGGATACTTCACTTCAGTAACGAACAGGCAGCACAGTGTGGAGGGAACTGAGACTCCTGACAGAATCCTCTGAACTCTTTCCTTTCCTGTTCTTTTTTTTTCGGGGGGGGGGTGCATGTGGGTGGAAGGTGATGTTAGCAAAAAAAGCTAAATCATCAATTACCATAACGGGAAGTCAGTACTTACTGTTCCAAATAAAACCAGGAAATCGGAAGTTAGCAGCCTAAGACATCACTCAGGGCTGCTGAGGATGCTTCACGGCTGGGAGGGGCAGGGGGTAAGAGGCGCTGGCCCTAAGAGGGTGTACTGCGTGCGACATAAGGAAGCAGGAACAGGACATGTGCGGGGAGGGGGCCCGGAGGGAAAACATCGTCAACAAGGCTTTAAAAGATGGAGAACATGAAGTCACATTCATGTGCCCACGGCATAGCACAGCCGAGGGGGGCTGATGACACAGGAGAGCTGGGTTAGCAGCCAGGTGGGAGCAGGGGCACCTGCACTGGGGGGGGGGGGTGTTTTGGGGGGGGGGGGGTCAGGGAGGGCACAGCCCAGGAGAGGCAGGAGCGGACCTGGGCTTGACAAGTGGTCTCACCAGACGGCAGCTCTTCTTTCCAGGGGCAGGAGAGAAGATTCATCTGCGCAGAGCACAGGTGATGTGGGGGGGCCAGTGAAGACGTGTTCTCGGAACAGGCGGGAACTGCGCCAGAGAAATGCAGGGTTGTGTCACGGCATCAATGGCAGCAGCTTATTTTTAAAATTCGGCAAGCACACTGAGTGACTACTGTAGGCCGGGCAGTGCCCTGCGTGCTGGGGACACAGAGCTCCCGGAGACCGACATCTCTGTGAACGGAGTAACTTTAAACGAGCCCTTCAGTGGAGCTTCTGGGGTTGCTCGGCAGGCAGATGGGGAGACCAGGTGTGGGGCTCTGCCAGGACTATGAGGACAGGGGCTGAGAGAGACAAGGAGGTGAAGAGTGAGCAAGGAGTGATACGGTGTCAGGCCCTGGGGTCCGACCGAGGGGATGGGGAGAGACAGCTCTAGCAGCAGATTCGGGTGTGTGCTGAGTACACACGAGTTTGCTGTATTAGTCTTGTACTTCCCCAAACTTCTAAGCTTTTCAAAACTAAACATGCAAGTGTGAAAATTTCATTTCCTCTACTTCACCGCCCTACGTCCGACGTGACCATCATCTCAGGCTGAATTCCTGGGACAGCCGCCCGAGTGGCCCGCTCCGCGTCCTGCGCTGCCCGTCAGAGTTCTAGCTGCACAAAGCAGAGGAACATTCTTGAAGGCTCGAATCACATCAGCACCCTAACGCCCTATCAATACCCAACTATCACAGCTCATCTGTTTACCAAATAAATAACACAGGGAATCGGAACTTACCACCTAAATTGCTGAGTCATTGTCAAAACAAAAGAAACCACAAGGACGACGAGGGAAATACAGTCGCCAGCCATTTAATTTTTTCTCTCCTCTCCCCAGGTAGCTCAAGCTGTGGAGGCTAATTTAAACGCCACCTTCTGGCCAGGGACCCGTCTGTTCCTGGTAAGGAAGCTCCGTGGACCCCAACAGCACCAGCAGGACGTGGGGGAGACCCAGACTTGTGCACACGCTCCTCCTGAGACCACTGTCCCCTTCCTGACCTTCTCCCCTCACTGCCAGGACTGCGTGAAAACCAGTCTCAAGAAGGGCTCACGATGAAAGCCAATCATCTACTTCCCCTTAAAGTCTCATCAGAATCCCTGGCCAGTAAGGTTCTCAAGCGGTGTGAGTGAAAACCACCACACACCCGCCGGCCGATGGGGAACAGCAGGAAGCCTCACACACCGCTTGGGGGGCGGGGGGAACTGCACCAGCGCTTGGACGGGCCGTGCCCGCCAAAGCTCAGCAGCCACACATTCCATGACCCAGAAACCCCACTGCAGACACAGGCCACCAGCCACCCGGCCGCTCGGTCAGTGCGACGGCACTCGGCGGCGGCGCGTTCACAGAAGAAACCACCCGCGTGCCCACGAACAGGAGGAAGATGCACCCACGGTGGAGCATTCACAGGGTGACACCACCCAGCCATGGAAGCGGATTTCGGCTATACACCGAACAAAACGGATTAGTCTCACCAAGAAAATACTGAGGAGCACTTACAGTGGGATCCCATTTATATCAAGTCCAAAAGCAGGGGGATCTAATCCACAGTGTGAGTGCTTCCAAGGGTAGGAGGGCCCAAGGTGCTGGCTCACTGGCCCCGGGGAACGTGCACCCCATACTTGCGTGCTTTCCGTCAGCAGCGCACCGCACCGCACCTCCCCTACATCCTGTTTACTGATGTCCACCTTCTCCCGGATTCCCATCCCCACTGGGTCCTGGGCTTCCCCGAGTCTGACTCAAGAGCCCGCCCTCCCCAGCCCTGGCCTTGAAGCCCGGAGCTGCCCCGAAGCCTTGTCGGACGGCGGTGCTCTGCTCGCGCTCCCCTGCCTCCACGGACTTCGGGCGGCGCCCCCAGACCACCGGGCAACCAGCTCTCCACACCTCATCCTCTGCCCACGCTTCCTGTGCGCCAGCCCCCCGCCTCACTCTGCTAGTGATTCTGCCTATTTCGCTCAAGCCAGAAGCGCCCAGGACAGATCCTCCACACAGTCGCGCCACCAAGAGGTCCTGTCCCACCCTCCTCGAGGACTTTGCTCCGAAGACAACCTTCCCACTCTCTGTGGCACCATTCATTTTCTCCCCTCTAACAGATGAGTCCTAATTTCACACAGAAATACTGTAATCTCTCATCTTAAAAAAAAGAAAAAAGAAAAAAAAGAAAGCTGACCTCCACTTCATCCTCTTAAAGCAAAGCTGGACAGTGCTCTGTCTTCACGGTCTCTGCCTCCTCTCTTCCCACTCCTTCTGGAGCTCACTCTAAGGAGTGGCTGCCTCCACCACTGGGCAAGGTCACTTGCTTCAACACACCCAGGTCCTTTCCCACCATGGCCAGACCCATTCTCTCCTCTGTCTGTGAATGTGTAAGACATGTATCGAGGGCACTGGCCACACCATTTACCTCATGCTCCACAGCATGTCAGAGTGCATGCATACATATTGTAGAAACTCCAACAATAACACAGAAAATTAATCCAGTGACAAGAGGCTTTGGGAAAATCACACTAAAAAATACTGAAGATGCTTTACTATATATTCAGATTTAGAAGTACTATCTACTCTCCAAGGACAAAAAATCTAATGAGCATGTCAGATAAATCAGAGAATTTCCGCTTATTATGGTGAAAAACATTACACACTTATATAAAAAAAAGGAAAATTTTCTACTAACAGACACAAATAAATAAATGTGTGTGTATGGCATTTTTAACTATCTTTTTAAAGCAGATCACCAAAGGCAAAGTTCTCTTTCAGAAACCAGACATGAACTGATAGAAGTGAATTATAAGCCTCCACCAAACATAAAAAATGGAAAACCACCTGTAAGAAACATACTAAGGTTCTAAACTAGAGACACTATAATCTTAAAAGCACTCAAAATTGAGTTTCTCCAAATTATGAGTAGGCTGGATAAAATGTGACAAAGCAGGGCGCCTGGGTGGCTCAGTCGGTTAAGCGTCTGCCTTCAGCTCAGGTCATGATCTCAGGGTCCTGAGATCGAGTCCCGCGTCGGGCTCCCTGCTCAGCAGGAGAGTCAGCTTCTCCCTCTCCCTCTGGAAGTTCTCCCTCTCTCTCAAATTAATAAATAAAATCTTTAAAAAAAAATGTGACAAAGCAGAAAAATCTGAACATTGTTTTCTAGTTAATCACTAAAAAAAATAGTTTGTGGCAAATTATCTAAATAAACTGGAAAAGCCAGAAGAGAGAACTGAAAGTCATTTTCTCTGCTCTAGAATAAACAGTATTTTAATAAAAGGAAGAGTAAACTGTATCTTAGGAATACAAGGATAGTTTAAGATTGAAAATGAACCAACATAATAATACACCATATTAATAGAACAGACAAAAACCACATGGTTATCGCCTGTGCAGACAAAGCATTTGACAAAATCCAACACCTGATCACGATAAAAGCACTCAATACACTAAGAATAGAGGGGACCTTCCTCAACTTGATAAAGAGCACCCATAGAAAAAGCCACAGCTAACATCATACTTAATGGTGAGAGTGGATGCTTTCCCCGTTAAGACCAGGAAGAAGACAAGGATGTTCACCCTGACCATTTCTGGGAAGCTTTCTCCTGAAGGTTCCAGCCAGGGTAATTAGGCAAGGAAAACGAAAGGCATCCAGATTGAAAAGGAGTAAGTAAAATTTTCTTTGTTCGAAGATGGCATTACCTTGTACGCAGAAAATCCTAAGGAATCCACGAACCACTATCCGTGCTAATAAGCAAGTGTAGTGAGGACTCAGGACACAAGAACAAACACAAAGATCAACTGTATTTCTATACACCAGCAATGAACAACCCAAAATGAAATTAAGGAAACAATTCCATTTACATAGGTATCATCAAAAATAATAAGATACTTAGGAATAAATTTAACCAAAAGATTGCAAGATTTATAAACTAAAAATTGTAAAACATTGTTGAAAGAAATTAAAGAAAACCTAAAGAAATGTAAAGATTTCATGTGGAAATAGAAGTATTCTCCAAATCAATGTAGAGAGTACAGGCAACACCCTTATAAAACCCCAGCAGTCTCCCCCACTCCATCACCCCACAGCAGAGACTGACAAGTTGAATCTAAAAATGCATGTGGGACTGTAAGGGACCCAGAATAGCCAAAACAATTTTTAAAAAGAACAGAGTTGGAGGACTCACACTTCTTGATCTCAAAATTTCACTGCAAAGCTACAATAATTAAGACAGTGTGGTACTGACATAAAGACAGACATACAGACCAAGGGGAGAGAATTCAGAGTCCACAAAGATACCCTTACATCCATGGCCAATTCATTTTCAACAGAGGTGCCAAGACAACTCAAGGGGGGAAGAAAACCAGTATTTTCAACAAATGGTGACCGAGACAACTAGATATCCACATGCAAAAGAAAGACATTGGACCCTTACCTAATGCCACATACCAAATTAACTCAAAATGAGACAAAAACCTAAATATAAGAGCTAAATCTATAAAACCCTCACAAGAACACAGGAACAAATCTTTGTGATCTTGGATTAGGCAATGGTTTCTTAGATAAGACACCAAAAACGCTGCAGACAAAAGAAAAAAAAAACAGGCAAGTTGGACATCATCTAAATTGAGAATTCTTGCGCACCTAAAGACACTGAGTGAAAAGACAATGCACAGAGTGAGAGGAAATATTTGCAAATTATGTACCAGGTGAGGGTCTAGCATCTGGAATATATAAAGAACTCAATAATTTTTTTAAAAAGTCAACTAAAAAAATGGGCAAAGGACTTGAATAGACATTTTTTCCAAAGAGAATATACAAATGTTGAATAAGCACAGGAAAAGATGCTCAACATCCTTAGTCTCTAGGGAAATGCAAATCAAAAGCATAATGGGATAGCACTGCATGTCTGTATTACAACGGCTGAACAAAAAACCCAAAACACCCTACAACTGCTGTCCAGGATGTAGAGAAACGAACCCTCATACATTGCTGGTGAGACTGTGACATGGTGCGGCCACTTGGGAAAACAGTTTGGCATCTCCTCAAAAAGGTAAACAGAGTTAGCAAATGACTGAGCAATCCCACTCTTAGGTATTATGCCCGAAAAAACTGAAAACACACGTCTATGTAAAAACTTGTACAAGAATATTCACAGCAACATTATTTAAACAGCCAAATAATGGAAACAGCCCAAAGCGTTCATGAAATGAACTGAAAAACAAAATGTGGTCTATATTCACACGATGGAATATCATTCAGCCAAACAAGGAATGAAATACTGACACGTGCTAGATTGTGGGTGAACCTTGAAGACATTCCGCTAAGTGGAAAAAGCCAGACATAAAAAGCCACCTAATACATGATTTCATTTCTACAAAATGTCCACAATAGGCAAATTCACAGAGACAGGAAGGAGGTCAGTGGTTGCCAGGAGGTGGGGAGGAGGGAATGAAGAGGAACTGCTAATGAGGTTTCTTCTGGGGGGATGAAAATGTTCTAGAACTAGACAGTGGTGACGGCTGCACAAGTCAGTGAACATACTAAAAAATACCCAACTGCAAACTTTACGAGTTTTACGCCGAATGAATCATTACCTCAGTAAAGCTGTTATTTTTACAAGTATACAGTAAAAATGAT